ACAATTACATGTTTTTAACAGCAAATGAAATTTGTTTGTGATGAATGATTAGTAATTAATAATTAATAAAATTATTCTGTTTTCTGTTATACACTGTGGTGGAGGTCACATGTCTAAATCAGGACTGGGTGGAACAGCACCAACACCTCTTCAAACAGAAACAAGGGACAAAACAGAGGCAGGACCATTGCTCACACACAGAGTGGGGCTCTCCTGCTTCTCATCAAGAAACAGCACCCAAGAAAATGTCACAAATGTGAGAGCCAAGGGGCACTGGGAGCAGAAAGGAGGGAGGGCAGCAGGAGGGTCACAGCAGCAGACACAGGCTTTGGGAGCACAGCACAGCAGCTCCTGGAGAGGTTCTGAGAAGCTTTTCCTGTGGCAAGGAGAAAATACAGCAATTTTTGCTGGAGAATTTGAATGACAGGAAAAAAGGCTGGGAATTTGGGAGCTGAAAGTGGGAAGTTGGTATGAAACATGGAAATTTGACCAACAAGGAACTCCAATGCAGTGAAATCGACTATAAAAGGCAGGAAAAAAGACAACTCAGCTAAAATAAAACTAAACTAAAAGAAGAAATGGCAGAATATTCATGCTTGAACACCAACACAATTCTCAACCGTGTGCAACGATGTGATTTATTGGTATACATTTTAAACAACACATTAGATGTTAAATCCAACATTTTGCTATAACCTTTCACCATACATCAGCGATGAAAATCTGGGTTTTTTCATCTGACATGAAAATTTGTTGTAAAAGGGGAAGACCTGTAGCTTTAGTGGCTTTTACAGATATTTGGAGCAACCTGTGTGAAAACAAGTTGAATTGAAATGAATTCCCACACACACACTCTCAGTATTTCTGAGTATCAGTGGTTATTGTCATTAACACTTCAGTCCAACTACAACTGCCAATAATATGAGAATATTTTAGCTGCCTTCAGACTTCATAATTTCAATTCACTGATCTCAACAAAGCCTCTCAAAGAGCTGTTATGTTTGTATTCAGAGAAGTAGTGGAGGCAATGCTGTCACTGCAGACTTTGCTGGCTAGATAAGCAAAAGATTTGTTTTTCCAGAGCAAACACTCTCTTAAGCACTTCAGCTATCAGCACCTAAACACAGAGGGATGAAGGTGCCAAATGTGACAAACTGTGACACACCCACAAGTGAGTGTCTGCCTCCCTCTGCCGGATCTCAGCTGTGTAGCTGTGATGGCCCCAGCATTGGCAAATGCTGGCCAAAAAACACACACAGGCAACTTTTGTCTCAAAACTCTGCTCTTTGTGTCATTTATGTCTGTCTACATGCAGAGCAACTGCAACTGCACCCAAAAAAACACACATAGACTTTTGTCTCAAAATTCTGCTCTTTGAGCCATTTATGTCTGTCTACATGCAGAGCCCAGGGTTAAATGTTCCCAGTTTTGGTACCAAATTTTCAATGCCAAAGGTGAAGGCAGGTGTGTGAGCTGTGTGTGACACTATAAATAAGGCACATGGATCTTTGCTAAAAGCAGAATTTTCTCACCTCTCAGAGCATGGCAGTCTTGATGGGCAGAAAAGAGCTGTCTGAAATTCATCAAGGGCCAAAAGGTCCTGCACCTGGGGGAGGAAAAACCCCCTGCACCAGCCCAGGCTGGGGGCCAGTCTGCTGGAAAGCAGCTCTGTGGAGAAGGACCTGGGGGTCTTGGTGGACAAAAAACTCTGTCCCTGAGCCAGCAGTGTGTCCTGCAAGCCAAGAAGGCCAATGGCACCCTGTGGGGCATTTTCCCTCCCTCCACCCCCAAACATTGCCAGCACATCAGGGAGGTGATCCTGCCCCTGAGCATGAGGAAAAACTTCTTTACTGTGCAGGTGACTGAGCACTGGAACAGGATGCCCAGAGAGAATCTTGTTATCAGACTTCTGCTCTGATCAGTGTTTATTTCAAATACCTGTGTTCCATTTACAAAATATGCAACCTGTACTGGGATTGCACTGGTACTGGAGTTTTAATTATTTAGGCACATTGCATGCATCACAACATGCATAAACTCTAACTTAGAACTCGAACCCTTAACACTGTGCTTTAAAATAAAATACTGAGTGACTCCTGCCACTACTTTTTTGTCCCCCACCCCTTTTCAGGGCACTGACTGTCACTCTGGTGACAGCCAGCACCTGTAGATCTGACAAGTTCCAAAACATTCACATCAGCATTGGCTCAGAGCACTGCACTTAAAAGTGCACAGAAGTTCTGTTTCTAGAAAATTTTTTTGGTTCATTCAAGGGAAGGCTTGAAAAATGGAATTTACTCCAGAGTACACAGCAATCCCTTCGGGTACTGTTGAAGTCTGCTCAAGGCTGCATTAGTAGTGCAGTGGGATTTTCACCCCTTTTTAAGTGAATTTTTGATCTTGAATAACCTCCACAGCCCCTGCAGTCACCAATACTTTATCAACAGCACTGGTACAGCACCTCTATTACTAGGGCTGTCCAGAATACCTCAAATCAGCTTAAATCTATGCCAAAAGTCCTCCTGCTGGAAGCCTGAGAGGATCTTTCTGGCCTGCTCTGAGCCCCACAAAAGCAATCAGCAGTGCCCTCATTTGTTGCCTAGGGCTGGAGGAGGGGTGTCATATTTAATGGAAAGAAGCCAGGCTGAAGAAATAATCACCAACCACTATTAATGGCAGGTCTCATCCTCAAAGAAAAACAAGCAAAATGGAAAATTCTGGGGAGGAGGTGAACAGCCATCCCCCACCCACCAAAACCCCCAGAATCCTCAACAGCAGACATGCAGAGCATCAGCCACCCATGCACAACCACCTGAAGATGAATTTTTCCTTCATTTCATCATCAAAGCCCTTCCATCGTCAGTATCTGGCTTATTTCACATAAAGCCTTGAAGAAAAACCTCAAAAAGTTAAAAACTTTTAGGACAGTTGAAAACTTTTCAACTAAAAGTTGAAAACTTTTAGGACAGTTTCCTCACTTCCTTTAACCAATGCCATTTCCAGAGTTTACTGCACCCTTTCAAACACCCATTCCCGACCCAGAAATAAAATCAGCGGGTTGAGGTTTTTGGGAGGGCGGGTGTGTTTTGGTTTGGGGATTTTTTTTATGCCTCCAGCTATCCCTGGCCTTTATTTTACTCATTGCTACTCGATACATTTTGCATGTACCAACTCCCTCTCACTTGACCGGCGTCTGCCTTGGGTTTTTTGCTGTCACTTCATGACTTTGGGGGATTTGTTCCTTTGTGCAGCAGTGACTACACCCGTTCTTCATGTGACTCCTCTAACACAGCTCCACTCCTGCCCTTCCATGGGAAAACTGGGAAGATGCTGGTGCTATAAATAAGAAGCTTGACTAGGCCAATATTCAAGCAGCAATCAATTTATTAATTAATATGGTAAAGCATGAGCCATACAGCGCTGGGTACAGTGGGGGAAGTTTTCCCCCCAACTGCACACCCATAGTTGAGGCTTTCAGGTATTTATAGGGGTACTCATAAGCTTTCTCAGCAGTTTCTATTCCCAATTTTTACTCATCAGCAGTTTCTAGTCCCAATTTTTACTATTGTGATTTAGTTTTTCTCAGGATGTATCCCAAAAGGAGTATCCCAGGTTGTGGGCGTCCAGTTTCTGAAAGAAGAAAGACAAATCCCATCTGGTGGAGTCCAGCTCTCCAGATGTGGGTCCACCTTTTAATTGCAAAGATTATAAATCTCATAACAGTGATGTCCAGCTTGCCTTGGTCGAAACTATAAATCCTTGAGTTGATGTTCATCTTCCTTTCTCAAGCTGCTTTTCTCTGTTTTGTTAAGGTGTGAGATAAGCATGTTTCCTTTATATATATTCCAAAGCTATAGTTTCAAGGATGCAAGCAATATTCTAAAATTATACTTCAAAAGGTTATTATTGCAGAGCTCTTTAAGGCTTAACTACAAGCAAAGAGCAACATCCTTAACGATTTAATGCTCCTAAATTGAAAAATGCATGTATTTTATGATTGGCTTTTTGCAAATATTAAAATGAATATTATATGTGTTGTGTTAGAAAGTAATGCTGTATTAATTCTCTTAAGTATTGTGTTAAATATAGTTTTAGGTTATAAAAAATGTTAAAATAGAAACTATGCTATGTAGGATACTTTCTTAAAGAAAGGACTCACAGCGAGATAGCAGCCACGGGACACCTAAATCCTTCAGAGAATTTATTGCCCTCTTATCAGAAGAAACGAACTTCTTCCCGCCTCGAAGGCGCTGCTAGGATTGTTAGGACTGGGAGGAAGAAGTTGACACTGACCAGACAGAATCCTGTATTTGAATGGAATTTATGCATCATGTATGAGGTGTATGAATATGCAACAGGTTATTGCTTTTAATGATTAATCCTTTGTTAACGTGGGTCCTTTTTTGGGCTCGTGCTGCCCAGAAAAAGGTACCCGGATGTCCGTAACTCTTTGTATTTATTGTCTCATATTGTCCTAATTCAATTTGTCCAAATTGTTACTACTCTAATTGTATTACTATTTTTTATAACCATTTTATTACTATTAAACTTTTCAAATTTTAAAAACAAGTGATTGGCGTTTTTCACATAAATCAACTACGGTTAATTGCGAACAAAAGATAGGTTCAAAGGCCTTCTTCCATGCTTTTCTTTCCTCAGGTATTATTAGAATTCGTCTTTATAACTGTCCCATGGGCGGTCTCCACACATACCGCAATCACAAATACACACATTGCCTGTATGTACCTTTGTACAGCTTTGTATTTCACACCGGGGAGCCGCGGGGATAACGGCGGGGCTGTGCCGGGGATAACGGCGGGTATTGTCCCGGGGAGCCTCGGGGACACCGCGGGGCTGTGCCGGGGATAACGGCGGGTACTGTCCCGGGGACACCGCGGGGCTGTCCCGGGGACCCTCGGGGACAACCGCCGGTCTCGCCGGGCGGTGCCGGGCGCCGCGGGGACAACGGCCGGCGGCAGCGGCGGCGCCTCGGCTGTGCCATGACCGTGCAGCGCCCGTCGTGGCCGCCGCTGTACTTCCCGCACTTCCACGGCACGGAGCCGGTGCCGCGGCCGGCGGGCGGCGCCTGGGCCCCGCTGGCCGCGCTGTGCTGGCCGTGGCAGCCGCTGCCGGCCGCGGCCGGGCCGCCTCGCTACGCCGCGCTGCCCGCGCCCGTGGTGCCGGAGCCGCCGCGCCTCTGCTGCCCGCCCGCAGCGCCGCGGACCGGGGAGGCGGCGCGGCGGCCCCCGGAGCTGGCGCAGCTGCAGCTGCAGGAGGAGATGTGCGAGCTGGGCATCCGCCTCAAGGAGCTGGAGCTGGCGGCGCTCATCGGCGACGGCTTCGACGCCAGGCAGTGTGCGTGCGCCGGCCGCCGCGCCCGGGCTGCGCGGGGCGGTGCGGGCGGAGCTGCGGGCACCGGCACCGGCACCGCCCCGCACAGCCCGGCCGCGGGTCCCCCCGGCAGGGAGCCCTAAAGCAGGATGAGTGTGGGGCGGGTTTGGGGTATCTCCGCCCCGCAGCGCCCTAGAGCCAGCCCGGGGCAGCGCAGATGCGTGCGGGAGCACGGCGGCACTGCGGGGACAAATGGCATTGATTGTCCCGGGTCAGCCCGGTCAGCGCTCAGGGGAGCCGGCTGAGGGCACTCCCCCGGCACGCCACAAACCACATAAAACAATGACGCACTAACAAGCCAACCAGCATTATAAATGCCATCTTAACCACCATGCCCGCCATCCTCCTTCCTATCTCCCCTATAATCCTTACCATCACCTAAGAAATTTAGGATTACCTAAGGAGTCAGATGAAGTACAGGTGTAGTCACTGTCGTAGTTGCAAAACCCCCAAAGTCGTTAAATGACAGCAAACAAACTACAGCAGGCATCACTCAAGCGAGACGGAGTTGGTACATGCAAAATGTATCGAGTAGCAATGAGACCCTGCAGTTGTGCATCAGCTTTGATGTAAAATAAAGGCCAGGGATAGTTGGAGGCATAAAAAAATCCCCAAACCAAAACACACCCGGCTCCCCCAAAAAACCTCAAAACAACCCACACCAAAAGAAACCACCAACCGAACAGAAATCCTCCTGTGAACTTGGCATTTCAATTTTGCAACCTGCTGGCCATGAAGAAAATGCAGGGAATAAAATAGGTCAGCAGGTGATGGTAGTACTGACATCTCAGGTGGGGAGGCCAACAACTGTAAGGATTTCATGCTCATTTTTTCCTCCAAGGTCAAACAAACCAACGCAGGCATCAGTCAAGAGAGAGGGAGTTGGTACATGCAAAATGTATCGAGTAGCAATGAGACCCTGCACTTGTGCATCAGCTTTGATGTAAAATAAAGGCCAGGGATAGTTGGAGACATAAAAAAATCCCCAAACCAAAACACACCCTCCCACCCAAAAAAACTCAAAGCAACCCACACCAAAAGAAATCACCAACCGAACAGAAATGCTCCCGTTAAATTATAAGTGAGCTTGGCATTTTAATTTTGCAGCCTGCTGGCCATGAAGAAAATGCAGGGAATAAAATAGTTCAGCAGATGATGGTGGTACTGAGAGCTCAGGTGCTGAGGCCAACAACTGTAAGGATTTCATGCTCATTTTTTCTTCCAAGGTCACAGGAAACTTTCAGGAGTGCAAGAGTTACAGGAACACAGGGGAAAATGCCCATCAGATATATGCATTCAAAGGAAGATCTCAAAAGAAATTCCACTTGGTAGTTTGCATGTATTTTCCCCTTCATTATAGCAATACACACCACTTTCCATTTTTAATACCTACTATTTTGAGAAACTCTAATTCTCAGGTATTTGCTAGCCAAGGCATTGTAAGGATTATTAGTTTGCTTAATACATTATTTGATTTACTTAAAAGTATTGTAAATTATTAATGACATCATTAATGACAAATTGTGTTTCATTCCTGTTTAGATAAAATCCTGAAGGCACTGGAAGAAAAGAAGATACAAAGCATGAAAGCAATGCAGAACATGAAGTAATGTCCACCAACATACTGAGGATTATTTCAGCTGAATATTTTGCCACTATCACTGTGTATTGTTTTAATGGGTCTTTAATATTGGGTTTCTACTCACTATATGTTGTTCTCCTCCTCTTAAAAATATAGCATATTGTTGACTTCTTTTGTGTATTATTTGCCTGGTACTAGTTACTGATAACACTACTGTGTATTTGAACCTTTTTCTTTTTATCCAATTATTTTATGCAGGAAGCATATAATATTTTCTTCAAAAACACTGAGAAATTAACACTATTTTTGTCAGGATTCCAAGCAGTCCATATCTGCAGCTGGGAAACGCAGAAATGGCAATATAAAATATGGTTGGGTTTTGTTTTGTTTTAATTCTAAGTATATTAAGGGCAATTTTGAATAAAAAGGTATGGCCAAAAGTCCTAAGCCTCTAAACCAGCTTAAAGAACTACTTTCACATTAGCATAAAAAACTTTTTTATAATCACAGTGTATTCCTTTATAACCATAAAATTACAGAAGCTGTGGCTTGAGTTGGTTTTTAACAGAGCAGGCACATGACATTGAGGGTTTACTGATATTTTACCATTATTTTAGGAGTAACAGTGCTTAGGCTAAAGCCCGTGGCAGTTTTTGAAGTGACAACATCCTTAAGTTTGGAAGGCACATCCTTTCATGAGTAAAAATGGACAGAGGCAGAGATGGCAGACTGAAGATCTGGACAGCATTCAGCATTCAAAAATAATGTCACCCCTTAAGAACACCACAAAGCAGCAAATAGGTTCATCAGACTGATAAAAAAATACTGATTACTTTTTCCTATTCCATTTCCGAAGCAGTAGGTGGCAGCATGAAATAATAAAGTCACCGACCCTGAAGCTGAAATATTTTGGCAAAGAGCTTTATTTTTCAGAGGAATATTTTAACCTCTGTTTATTTAAACTGTGTTCAAATTACTCAGCTGTGAAATGTTTTAATACAATACAATATCAAAATTTTATTTCCTCTTACTGTTTATTGCAGCATTCATCCTTATACTGCCTCAATCTTTCTAGCCAGATTTTGATCTACTGTACACAGAGTTTATATTTAAAAAAAAAATCTATAACTCCCATTTGTCAATCATCAGACTACAGAAATCACATTTTAATGTGATTACAAATGAACATTAGAAATCTGGGCTGCAGTGTTTCACTGCTCCCTCTGCAGAAAGAGGGTAAAAAGTCTCTCAAAGGGTTTTGAGGCTTAAGCAGAAATGGTCAGTTGCTGTGAAAATGTGAAGCTGAAATTGTTGGTTACTATGAAAATGAGAACTGTGTTAGTATCCAAATTAAATATCAGAAAACAAATTTGGATTGGACAAAAAAGGGCCATTACACAGAGGCCTTCAGAGGCTTTGTGGGAAAGTGAGGGCTTTAAAGTCAAGTTAGGTGACAGAGGAACTATCTTCATTTTCCCAGTCTCCAGATCAGTTTAGTTCCTAAACCACACTAAATTTTCCAAGGTTATTGCAAGGGCCAACAGAGGTTTCCATTACATGGAATTGCTGCTTTCTTACAATTACTTCTCAGCTTTTACCAAGTCTTTCACCTTACATCCAGCTCTCATCAGCCATTATTCACTTTTTTTCTTTATTGCTTTGTTTTCTTGGCTTAAACAGAGCTGCTTCCCATGGCACACAGTTGAAATATTTTCCATCTGTTGTTCTGTTTTTCATATGGCCTTTATCTTGAAACAACACTTGGGGTTTAATTACTGGGTGATAACACAAGGAAACAGTTAATGTGTAATCTCAGTTAGAGATGCCTGGGATCACACATCTCCTGAAAAAATCATCTGGATCATGGCACTTGGCAGAATGGTCACCCTTGGCCAGTGTCACCCACAGCACTCCTCCATCAGGATGCTTTGGTCAAAACCTTTCCTTTGGGAAAAAAAAAAAGCTATTGGTACATAATGGCACATAGGCTGATTTCCAATTGCCCCTAAACATTTTACTTACCTTTACTTTTCTGCTCTGTTTCCACCTGATCTTAAATCCAGTAATTTGCTCTCATCTGAGGGCGTATGGTTTCATCTCAAAGCTGGTCTGTTTATTATTCCTTTTGTAAAAATTAAGCCATGTTTTAGACAAAATAGAACAGCATTCTTACTGCATTTTCTTTTATTCACAAAGAATGTGTCATTCATTTTTTAATTGCTTCTGTTCTCTTAGATTGCTCAAGAGAGGCTAAACCTGGCATTCAGATGGAGGAACAATTCAGATCTCTTTCATGTAGCTGCCTTGTGACTCAACAAATCTATCCCTGTTGCATTCAAGACAGAAATTTTAGGCTACAAATTTTATTCATAGGCAGAGATCTCCAAAGATCAGTAGGCTGCTCCCATTTCCAATTCCAAACGAGGCAAGCCTCTCAAAAAGCAGTGTCACACCTTCCCAGCCAGCCTGAGCCTGCACCTGCAGTGACACCCAGGTGCTCCCCAAGGAGAGCCTCAGGTCTCACTTCTGAAACCTCAAATGGCCTTGGCTGCTTTATGGTGGGCAAAATGAGATACAAAGCTATTCAAAAACCAGAATGCATTTCAACTTTAAATTATTTTATACCAAACGGTTGGGTCCATTAAATTTCACACTGCTGTGTTTGAGTTTGCCACATTAAAATTCTCCAAACAGATATTCAGCCTTATTACAATGGATCATTAGAATTTAAATTAATCTTCAAGTCAAGCTGCCTTAATTAGTTCAGGGACAGATTAGAAAGGAAATCCAAAAGCAGTAAGCCATCATGAAATGATTTTTCTGCTTTCAGCAGCGTCTGCTGCATTTTGGATTCACCTGCCCTGAAAATTCAGAGCTAATATCTCAAGGGGAGGTAGGGAAATTGAGAAGCATCTAACTCTGGGAAACTTGTCCTCATTTTTGAAAACTTGTCAACATTTGTGAAACAGTCTCGGATTTTGGTATATCTTGAGAAAAGCCAGAACAATCCCTTGAGGAGGCATAAGTACTCACAGTCACAGCATGTATATAAAACATATAAATACATATGTGCATTTAAAAAATTGTATCTTAATTAGGCCATCTGTCTAGACCCTTATTAGTGATACTTATACTAGGAATTTCATTTATCATCTACTTTTGGAAGATCCTTTCCAGCCTCTTTCTTCCTCTGAAACTACAAAGTAGTAGTAAAGGAATTTTTTATTCCAAATTTCTTGCATCACAAATTATACAAAAGCAGCCCTGTCAAAAGCTGCATTTTCCTCTTCCTTCTACTTCAGACTGACAGCACGAAACTTAGGCCTGCGTAAATGATATTAAAAACCACAAAAACTGGATCTAAAGAGGAGGAGACAGCAGGAACAACCAACGAGTAGCAACACAGATTTTAAGACATATTTTATTTCATGTGCAAAGTTGCCAAGGAAAACACGTGTACAACTTCAGCTAAGCTATAGCCACTAACATGAAAGGAACTATTCTATGTACTCAGAAGCTTTATTTCTAGAATCACCCTATGGCTTAGAGTAAAAACATAGGAATTTGGTAATGACCCAGAACGTTTTAAATCCCCCCTTTTCAGTCATATGTAAAATTCTACCATCAGCATGTACTTCTAAGTAACAGGTCTTGGAGATTTTCCTTCTGTTTGCATAGTATAAAATTTTAATTATTTCTTATTCTCTCGATTTAATCCCTAGACTTGGCTTTAAATTTGCTCTCAATGTTGCAGCTTCAGAAAATTAATTTTCCCACTTACAGCTGAAACACTCATAAATTTTGAGCAAGTTTCACAGACACAGCCATTACAATTCAGTTGAATCAAGCTGTGAACACCAAAGATAACATGGATTTTTGTAATCATGCAGAGCTAGTCCTTTCCATAATTCAAAGATGTAAGAAAAGTTCATTTCCTTGGAAAGTGAGATCTGTTGCCTGGGAAGTGAGACAGTTTATTGATATAAATTCTGTAAATCTCTGTAAAAAAGTGTAGAGGTTGTTATTGGAAAGGCTTCCTAGAACATACTGAAATATTTTCAAGAGGTGGGTTTTTTTTCCCTTGTAAATTCACATTTATTGAAATGCTACCATAGGAATAGGTAATTTATAGTCCTGAACAATTCCCAAAGCTCCATGAAGTAATAAATGGTGCTTCTTATCAAAGTAGTCACTGCAGTCCAGGTTTGAGTTTCAGCAGAGCAGTGAGGAGAGGCAGTTCCTTCACCCTCCCCAACACACTGAGGCACAGTCACATTTTGGACCAATCCAAAATCCTGAAGAGCAGCAAACTGACCTTCCAACTCCCAATTTCCAGCCACTCATAACCAGACAGCATCCTTCCTCTCCTGGCACAGTTTTAAGACACTTGTGATAGCTAATTTATTGGGGGGCTACTGGCTCGGCCCTGTTCTCCTTGAAGGGAGCAGGTGTTTTGCCAGTAAACAGAACAAAACAAAAAAATTGCCAGTAAACAAAACATTGCAGCAGAAAATGTTACCTGCAGCTCTGGCTTGCCTCAACGCTAAAAGGAGAACACACAAAGCACACTGTGGGCTGAAGCCATGCAGTGCCAGGGCTGTTTAAAAATTCTGTCCTGTTGGTTACAGCTGCTGTCACACCAGCTATCAGCGAGGTAAAGAGTGCACTTCTTTGTGCACACCATGTCAAACTCAAATTCAGAATGCACAGCCATGGCAGGGAAGACTTCAAATGAAAATAAAAAGTCAAAAAGCATAAGAATATCTGTGCTGGACAAATATGATTTCTGATGAATCCAAAGAACTGCCTTTTTGTTAGGCCTGAGCTGTTGGGTTGCTAAATCCTGCATCAAAATTTAAGCCTCAGCAAAGATGGGTTCTATCATATTTTCCAAAATCCTTGGCTTCACTCTCATTTTTCTTCTATCAAGTATGACATTGAATGCAGCTTGCAGAAGTCAGCAGCAAGATGAAATGCAAAAGCCTTCCCAGAAGGAAATATTAAAATTTGTTTGTTGCAAAATAAAGTATTCAGGTTTTTTCCTCATTGCAGCATGGAGAGTATGAGATAAAGACAGGGATAAAGAATAAACTTCAATTTTACTTACATCCAGATCTCCTTACCAGGTACACAAGACCTTAACTGATGCCACAGTTTGGTTATGGTGTTTGGACTGGTTTACACAGCACAGAAATGCTCTGGGCTCCAGTGAAGAGGGAATACTCTGGAAGAGAAATTCACCTGCTCTCTAAATATTGTACTCAGTGGAATCACCTTTCTTTGTGATTTACAGTCCTTTGCACCCATTATTCATTGCCCAGTGGGTAAGTGTGAGTTTCTAAAGTTACAAAATTATTTACAGACTGCAATATAGTAACAACTTACTCCTTGGGTATGAATTGAGTGCGGAAAATTCATGAAGTCAAACTTCCTAAAACAAGAATTGTTTTTAACAAATTCAAAAAAAGAAAAAGAAAATCAAACTCCCGAAACACCTCTTCATGATACTTGTAATTATTTTCAGCACATCTATGATACATTTGACCACCTCACTATTTAAAGCCCATTTCTCATCTTCCATGAGCTTCATAACAGAACAACTCTGAGATTTATCTCTTCATTACTGCCTCTCCACCCCTTTAGGAACCTGAAATGGATGGGGACAAATTGATGGACAAATAGAACCAGTTTTGAAAAAATATTTAAATATTTTTGACACACAGATATATAGATACACATGAATATGATACAATATTCATAAGAATATAGTCTTAAAGTGATTTTAAAAGCATGAAATATTATATGATTTGGGGGCATTTCAACTATTTTTAAAATCAGCACCTAAACCACTTTGTACAATGCAGTTATTCTCTGGAGAGATTCTGCAGTATTGACCAGCTTTGCCTTTATGACTTGGCCATCTTGAAAGATTTTTAAAGAGCAAGTCAGTATGCAATTTCTTTACTCATCTATATATAAATTTCATTTCCACATGTTGAGTTTTGCATTATTTATTTCTGAGAGAAAGGCAAAAGTTCAAAAAAAGCATTCTCAAAGAGTACTCTTCTCCTTAAAAAATGAGGGGGGGGGTGGGGGGAAAGACCAACAACTTTGAATTATTTTGATAAACAAAAAAGAAATCTGCTGCTCATTCCTGGAGTTAAAAATTAACCCATGAAGGGAAAGCTGAATTTTCTTGTAGGTATGAGCAACATGCATGATCCCTCTCCCTCTGCCATTTCATGTCAGTGTGGGCTGGGAAGCCACTGGGATTTGTTAATGTATAAGAAATTCAAGAGCAGGATAATAACTGGTTGGACATAGAGTTTGGAACTGCTGGGATGTGCACAGGATGAACAGGGGCAGCAAAATGCAGTGAGCTCAGAAAACTTGCTGCTTTCAAGCTCCCTCTGACTTCTAGAAGCTGGCAGTCAGCTCTTATACTGGCAATGCAGGGGTAAAAAACCCCACATTAAAATGTGATTAATTCTTTAACAGTCAGACATCTTCAAATGTAATGGAAACTGTGGTCAGCTTGATACATATCAGCCCTTAAAGAAAACAATTCTGCTATTCAACCCAATGTTGCATTTTCTACCTGCCTCTCATTTTTACCTCACACTTCTTATGTGTCTCTTTCAAAGAGAGTCTGAAAAAGTAATGATCACAGTTTAATATAATATCCTCATTTCTATATGCAGGCTTGCATGCACTTCTATCAAGTTCTACTCACAGTATTATGACATACAAATGTTACTCATATTTCCAGACTGAGTGCTAGAGCTTCTCTCCAACACAGATTATATGTCAAGAAATGACTGCCAACAAGTTCTCTTTTATCCTTTGTTTAAAGTTACTGTTCTACTGATACTAATAAATGTCACAAGGGGTTTTCCAAGTGAAAGTGGTCAGGACACACATACCAAGAAGGAATTTTTTTTGTTGTTTCACTTGCAACTGTTTCTACTGATGATTTACAAATCTGAAGACAGACAGTGGTCAGAACATCAACATTTTGTGTACACAGTAAACAGTACTTTCACCTAAACATTTAACATATCTTTAAAGAAAATTGGGGCATTGAGTAGAAAAAGCTAAATTACTACTTTTTTCTCAGTAAAAATGGTATGGATATATCTGGACAAGGTTATAACTTTGAACACAAATACTTTCTTCTTTGAAATCAGTATTGAAAAACTATATAGTACTTGTAGCCATACAAAATGTTTATTATATTACAAATTATTTGTACACTATATTTTCACTTTATCATTGCTTTGTGCTCAGACAGTATAAATATTACAGCATGATTTTTCTTTCCCAGCAATGTCCTAAGTGTCTTGATATAATCTTACTTGATACTTAAAAAAAAAAAATACAGAAACGTATTACAAACAGGATAAAAAGGCATCATGAATGAAGAATGTAAGATGGTTTTCTGAATAAAGTGCACCACAATGGTTTCAGAGTGATGGTTCAGGAAATATTCAGTAGACTGCACATCATCCATAATAATACCAAACAAAATAAATTTTGAATCTCTAACAGGTCTTCATCAGAAGTATGAAGAGTACTTTGTTTAACTATACTGAAATGTTTTTTCTTTCTAGAAGGCCATTTAAATGCTTTTGTTCGGCGGTTTTCCATTTTCTACAGACATCCAAACCCTGGACATCTCTAAATTTTCCAAAATTTTTAGTTTCCAGTATGGCAAGATACAAGATTCATTGTGTAAGATGTATGAGACTTTACCCTCACACATTTTTAATAGAACTATTAAATTGCCACAATTTAAGAATGGGAACAGACTTACAAACAGAATTAAGTGTCCAAAAGATGCTGTTTAAAACTGGAATGCCCTGCTTCCTGTGACTTTTTTGGGAATACATTGTTACATTACCCTTCCCACTTCTATGTCTTCAGCGTGCTGACCCATGGGATCGTGGCTGCTTGCACAATTTCAGCCTCAGAAGAACTCTGCAAAACTGGAGTCTAAGCCAGAGAAATTTATTACACAGCACATTTCACCCCCATTGCTTAGAAGGGCTCATTTACTTGCAAAATTTCACTGGGCTACATAGAAAAATCATTCAAAAACTGAGATAATAAAGCTGATGCAGAATTTGGCTGGCACGACCTGGTGTAGGTTTCGCTTCCCAGGTTAGCTCAAGCCAGCTGTGAACTAGCTTAGGCCAAATAAAATCAGCTGCTCTTCCATTATGTCTGCACTCATGTTACAGTGATCCAACTGACTGAAAAATAAACAGAATTCTGTGTGAGGGATCTAGTGAAATTTGCTTTTATAGACAAAGCCCAGTAGAGAAACTAAACCCTGCTCTCAGTGAGTGAAATTCCCACTGAAGGCAACCAGAACCTGTCTTTCTGTGGTACACTGAGTTTGGCCCAGTATTTTTCAGTTGTTATTCTAAAGTGTGATGCTCTTAGCCAGCTATTCATTTAACCCAATTTGGCTGTGTTGTATTACACTGATAATATCAGTATTACCTGGCTGACAGGTAACTGAGACAGCAGTCAGCCTTCACTAGACTTGTATTTATATGAAAAATTGAGTTTCTTGAGTTTCTTTGGTTGTTTGGTATCCAAGTCACCCAGTTGTATATTTGTGTACTCCAGACATAGGATATTTTTACTAATCAGTAAAATTATCAGGGGTTTATTCTTACTTTCTTTTTTTTCTTTTTCCACTTAGTTTATGGAAATTTTCTGACTATAGCAGACTAGTCACTTATATAAATATACAGCACATATATACATAGAAATTACAAAAATACATTTTATTTATATCTGATTTTAAATAATAAAAATGAAATTTCACATTTATTGAAAGATTAGCTAGCATTCCAAATGCTTCTGCAATATTCAAGGTATTGGAGTAGAGGATGTCTGTATTTCTAGGGTAATTACGCATCACAGTCTCAGGGTTTATAATGCAATTATTAGGGGGGGAAATAGCTCTGCTTTAAAAGTTTGTGCTTCATCAATTTCTTCTTCTATCCCCTATTCTAGTCCTCTCTCTCCTTCTCTCAATTTATTGATGGCCAAAAAAGCTAAACCAAGTTCCCTTTCTCACATCAGTTAAGACCAAAGAAACTCAGAGAAATGAAATGATCAGACAAAATAGTAATTGATAAATAACCCACTGAAATGAAGGACATTACCTTTAACTCCAGTTGACATCAAACACGCCCAACACAACAAATTTTGCAACAACTTCAGTTCCTGAAGGTAATTGCTGAAGGAACTGAAAACAACTGCTCATGATCTCCAACTAGTTTGTACAACTGCAAAATATTAACTACTGTCCCATCCCAAGTGGTTTGATTTTCTTTTGGGATCGGATTCCTACCACAACGCAGTGTAACAATCAGTGACCCTTATCTTGCACAATATTAAGTCAACATCATTTCTGGCAATGCTCTCTGTTTCACAGAACATTCATATTTTTGTTAATCCATGTAGCTGTTAACTTATTTACATATTAATATAGTAATTAGGTCCTCTACATTCAGAACTTCCTGGGTGCGCATTCACCGTGCCAGCGCAATCAAAATCAACTGCAGCTTCAGGTAGCACTTTCTGGCATCACTATAGTAGATAGCATTGTTAAAGAAAGAGGGAAAAAAGCACTGTGTTGAACAGAGGTTTCCTTGTCCAAGCAGGTGTATTCATTTTTCCAGGTTAGAAGGATTTAAAGGTCTCAGGTTTACCAGCTTCACATGCATTCAGAGTGAAAAGCCCGATTAAAGAGCAAAGAGGAAAAACCTTTTTTCATTTCTCTGGGAAGCTTTTAGCACCAATATCCTTTGCTGGCTCTTCATGCATTGTATTCTTTCACGCTGAAAAAAACCATCTCCTCCATAATTCATCAGTGACACTGAATGACAAGGTAGCCACCAATCATGGAAATGTCATTCACCTTCTCCACAGTCCTCTCTTCTTTCACTTCTTTGCACTGTTAATAGGATGAAGAGACTCTGAGCTATTTACAGGACTTTTATTTGTATTACTTAATTGTGTTGAATTCTTTTGGTTTGAATACAGTGTCTGGGATGAAAAGGCTGAAATGACTCTGCATTGCTGAAATCAGCACCCCTTATGCAATGTCCCACAGCAAACAATTAGCACGGCCACTGCCACGCCAGCCGTGGCCTTCAGCAAACCCTGTTCTGCAGGTTTTTTCTTCTCTAATCAAAGTTGTGGCATGCAGAAGTTATTTTCAGCAGCTCTGCCTCTGGGCGTGTAAATGAAACTTCTTGTGGCACAGACATGTTCAGCAGCATCTTTAGTGAGGATGGGTCATAATACGAGAGCAAAGTGACAAACAATTGCATATGGTTGATCTCATCAGTATGAAAGACTTTCCTGGCAGCTTTTCCTTAGCTGGAAAGCGGAATTTCATGTCTTCAGAGCCCTATTGCTCTGCTCTAAGTCATTTCATAGTGCTGACTTTTCAGACAGATTAAAACGCCATCGCTTTGGCACAATTTGCAGAAAGTTTGTAGCCAAAAACTAAAGGAGCTGCTTTCTTGGCTTCCCCAGGTCACAAGACACAAACACTGTGCACAGAAGATACATTAGACCTGGAACTCAAACATATCTGTCTGCTTCTTGGCCAGCTTGGCCACTTCTTCCCTTATTGCCTTGACAAGGGCGGCCGTGGAGATGTTGGTGAGCGGCGCGTCGGAGGGGTCGTTGTCAGCCAGGCTGTGCTGGGAGGCGGCGGCGGAGGCCAGCGGGGCCTGCTCCAGGCTGGGGTGCAGGCTGCCCTGCTGGCTGTACTGCCTGGGGAGCCTGGAGGGGGAGTTGTGCTGGTAACGGGGCCTCGGGTAAGCCTCGATATAGCCAGGCAGAGGCACCTGCAGGGAATTGGAATTGCAGAGGGTTACGCGGAACGATCAATCCTGCCAGTGACCGCAAACCTCCCTGGGGCACTGCCAGAGGTGACAGAGAGCACCAAAGGAAGGGAATGCAAACCTCAGAATGAATTCGCAGCTTCTATCGAACACAGGGTCACCCCAGCATCTGGGAATGATTGGCATCTGACTCCGTGATTCAGAAGGCTGAGCAACTGCTTTATTAAAATTGTATTATATCACATTATACCATACCATACTAAAGAAATACTAAAGAAAACCCCATGACTGTCTCCAGACAGTCGGGACACAGCTTGGACCTAATAGGCCAATTAATATAAAGAACCATCACCAGAATCCAATTAAGAGCTCACTCTCAGTAAGCAATCTCCATAACACATTCCATATGTGCAAAAACAACAGGAGCAGCAAATAGAGATAAGAATTGTTTTCTCTTCTTCTCTCTGTGCTTCTCCAGAAAAAAATTCTGGGAGAGAGAGTTATGTCTCTCTCTGTTCAGAGAATGTGAATGCCACAAGCTTCTGCCTACAAATGCCTGTCCTGGCATGTGCCATTTATGCACGTCCCAGCTGTGACAGCACAAACATCTGCTTGTCCTCATTTATCATCACCTCCAAAAGTCCAAGGGAAAAGGTTTTTCTGGAAGTGAGCTCTCTGCTTAGCAGTTTGGTTTTTAACAAACAGCATAATTTTAGTACACCAAAAACCTGTAACAGAAAAGCAGATTTCTGATTTCTGTCTAATCCAAGCCCGCCAAGTGTCTGGCCTCACTGGTCCTAACAGAAACTCACTGGATCCAGACACCAGGGATAAGCTCAGGTGTGCCAGGTTGGAAATTCAAGGCTCAAAAGGATGTTTGACTGCTCAGAAGTGTCAGGATTTCTGGCCATGTCTAACAGAATTACATGAAGGATTCATAATTTTTGTAACTCCAGATTTCAGCCCCGTGTTAGCTAAAACTAAAACAATAACATAGGCCCTTAAGTCACGGTGAGAGATTAAATTTCTTTTGCCAATCTTTTTGGCACTCAGAAGATTGTAATGCATCAAATAAAAGACAGTATTTGTAATTTCCAAAAGTCTATAAAACTGGAATCTACAGGCCTTAATTTTGAAGAAGGCTTTATGCCTGAAGCTTGACCTCTGCACAGCCTTGGGTATCCATCAAATGCTGAAGAGAATGTCAAACATATTCACTATGGTGTAATGAGACAAGTGTAGGAAGCAGGTATGGAATGAAAGTGATCATTAGATGTAGGCACCTCTGTTTAGTTTACAACAGGCTCTTCAAAAGGTGATTGTACTAAAACAACATGTGATCACACCACTAGAGGCCACCAAGTTACTGTTTTCACTAAGCATTATCCACCAGCTGGGAAAATAAGTGCTTTGTGGATAGTTTCCTTGTCCCACAAAACTTAGTGTTTTAATACTTACCATTTGTCTCAGAGATTAATATATTACAGTAATTGGGTTTATAAAATAGTTCCTTCTTGTCAAATTTCCCATTTCCTCCCTTGTTTACACTCGAGGCTAGCAGAAATGTGTGAAAAATGAAGAGTCTTATAGATATTAAACCTCTGTTCTCAATAATTTTAAGAAAATCTTGGAAGTATTATCAAGCTATAATCTTAAGGCTCAAAAACTAAGACATGTCCAGAAATTCAAGCCCTGAGTATTAGTGAGAAAATCTGAGTATTACTTCAGATCATTATGCTATTCACTTTTATTCAGGCTTTCTGACTGTGCTATATTGCTAATGCTATTACTAGGTCATATAGTAATGATTTTCAAAGACAATTTCTTTGCAGATTTGCAAATTCATTGTAGAAACTGCAGTAGTTTCTACATTTTTAACCCTTCTGCAAGGCCACTGGAGGGTTGAATATTTGACTAGCAAGGAATTGTTAAAGCTCTGCCATGGGTAAGTGAAAAGGTACATTTGTTTCCTCTGAATTCTATATTGCCATGGTTATTTTTCAGACAGTTTTTTACATCCCTCTCCATTCCTCTTTCCCCGAAGACAGAGAAAGCCACAACAGGGTTATACTCTTCACTTTCCAGAGGAAGGAGCTGGGGGCTGGAGACTTGGTTTGCAGTTTTCACCTGTTTGTTTCAGTCTCCACTTTTGACAAGTGATACCTGACTCTTTTTCCACAGGACTGCAATCAAGAGTAGGGATACAGAAGGAAGAATGAATGGGAGATAAGTAAAATTTCCTTATTTGTTTCATGGCTTTTTTCCTCCTTAGAGAAAAAGTTTAAAATCATTGCTAAGATACAATGGGCCTCCTGGACTTAAGATCTTACATCTTACTTAAGATGTAAGAAGGGTTAAAAACACACATAAATAAATAAACAAAAACAAAAAACACCAAAACAACAAAGGAAAATAAAGCTTTTCATGCTTTAAAAGGTAGCTCTGAGAAGGAAATTTATACCAGAGCATCACAAGCCTCCAGGTGTCAGGGGCACATCAGCAGGTGTGCTCAGCTTACAAATGAACAGCCTTTTTTTTTTTTTTTTTTACAGTTCAGCCTTCAAATTCAGGCTTGCTCCTCAAAGTCATACTGAATTGTTTTCCTCACAGGCATTGGGAGCAGTAATAAAGAGTGAACAACAAAAAAAGCTGCCCCCAGGAACATTTATATGACTGTGTTGTCTCCTGCTTATCTGCTCAAAGCCAACTTAGATTTCAACTGCAATTCATTAAAATGTTCTGTTGACGATTTGCACAAGGAAATTGAATCTGTCTTCCAGGTTTTTTAGCCAGAGTGGTTCCGCATAGATACCAGATGTGAGCTCAAGCAGAAGAATTTATCTTTTTTTCCCTTATGTAAAAAAAGCCCTACATTTGAGAAACTGTTTCAAACGTGATAAACTACTGCAATTCATTTTAGGATGTTTCAACTTCAATTCTTTGAAACGTAGGTTTACTTTGGGCTAAAAATTACATCTGTTCCTGTCTGAGATCGTGCAATTAATTATTTAATTTATGATCTGTCACTGCAGCCTTTGGGAGGATTTGAAACACTGCACAGCAGGGCTGCAGCAATGCTGGGAGATAAGATTTGGGAGCCAGGCTGTCTTGAGAGAAACCTCCAGGAAGGTAAGATGCTTCCCAACTTTCAAACAGCTCAGGACTGCCTTGAGAGGCAGCATCACCTTCTCCTGACACGCGTCTATCTAAAAAATTTAACCTTTTTCAGGAAAGAAGAATGACATCTAACCCACCAACTTTAAACAGGTGCCAGGCCCTAACCTAGTGAATGATTCCACCCTCTGAAGATCTTGCTCACAGTTCATGCCATGAACAACTGAAGTATCTATGTCTAAGCCATCTCTTATGGCTTTTCACTGCTAGAGATTATTCCCATTCAAGGAAAAATTATCCTTTTCTGCTCTTTTGTTGACCAGTGAAGAATTGCTGAAAATCCCTCCTGTTGAAAACACAGAAAAAAACAGGTGGTTAGAAAAGCAAGGATGCTTACAGAGTCTGCCCACTGCCCTGGCAACTCATTCTCTCCAGCATAGGGCATCCAGGCTTGGTTCCTGTAGGCAGTGGGAGGAGTTGGGATGAAGTAGCCGGTGAAGCCAGGTCGGTTTGCTGGAATGGCAAACACTGCTGGTACCGTATTTCCTGGCAAAGGAAAAAAGAGTAGGCATCATTAATAGCTGAGATTTTCAGTTTTAAATCAGATGATCGTGTTTATGAAATATGGACTTCTTGTTTGTTTGTTGAGGTTTTTTGCCTGGGGCTTTGGGTTTGGTTTGTTTTTTGGTTTTTTTTTTGTCCTACCATGTGACTAGAGCAACTTCATAATGATGGGAAATACTGGAGAAGGGAAGATTTGCAGTTGTCCTCATAACCAGGTACAGCCTTCAGGTAAAGACTCCCTAGGATTTGATCCTTGTAACAAATGATCTTAGTCAAAACTTTGATTCATTAGAGAAAAGGAATTTTTTCCTTAAGTTTGCCTCCTTGTATTCAATTTTCAGCTGTTGTTACCATGGGTTTCAGTGTAATGCACCTCTCTTTTCAGTGTTTACCCAGTCTTTCTTAATATCTATATTATTAATATTATTATTAATACCTATATTGTATTATTGTATTATATGCAGGTAAAAAACCTACAAAAATGAGTGACTGATATGTTTAACAGGCTGTACTCTCAACAATTCCATCACAAAACTTCAATGCTTCTGTAAAAATACCAAGGTTCTACCTGTTCAGTTCCTTTGCCAAGAACAGTCTATGGCTGCCATAAATGACACAGCTACAATGCAAAGAAATATTTCTTGATTATTTCCAAATCTGGCTTATCACCTCTTTATTAAGATGCATGCCATAGGAATTTCCAGGAAGCCTCCTGGATTAAAATCCCACTTTCACATTCCAATTTGTGTGGAAGGAGTCACAGTTTCAGCCAAATCTCTGGGTAGGGTCACATCTGCTTTCAGGGAAGGTTGATTCCTGTGGCCCTCAGAGATACAGAGAACAGTTTGGTACAGAGATTATCCACTGGGCTGTCTGGAAGACCAGCATCCTAATGTGCATATTTCCCTTGAGATATCCTTGATATATTCCCTTTGCTATCATAACTCCGTGTATTTGCCTAGTCAAAAATAGACTACAAACAACTTTCTTGTCCAGTTAAGTCTTCCTTCCTCTAGTGTCTATTTACATGCAAAGACAGACTCCAGCAGTGAATCACCAACATCACACTGAGGGCATGAAATCCTCATCCCTAAATCCTGGATGGGACAGCTGCATATCCTCTTCATCAGTTATTAGATTTTCAGTTTATTCAGGTATATTACATGGACATGTATTTTACTTTTCAGGTAGCAAAAATAACACCGTTTACATGAAAGCAGAAGGGCAGTAAACCCTTTAAAAAACACAACAAAGTACAACTCTAGCATTTTCACTGAGAAATGGAAGCACAGTAGCATTACACAGCTGGGCAGATTCTCTGTAGTAGAATTAATGCAGAGAAAATAAAATTTCTCCCCCTTCCAACTGCACATCATTTGAATATTGCTACTAATTGCTCTCAGTAGCTATGATACCACTATGCTGACAAAATCACAAAGACATGGGAAGGCCCATGAAATTCATATGGAGTATAATTGAATTAGCATCAATTACTGGCTGCTTCAAATTTCCATCCCCCAGAATCTCATTTACAGCCCTGGCACATTTTTTGTTCCTGAACAATCTACAAGAAGGTTCTGCTGCCTATTCTGACAGATGCTGGGACATTACATGGGCAGGTGCACAGAGATAGAAAGAATCCACCAGTGACATCCATCCCCAAAGCAGTCTCCATAAACCCAGATATTTACAGTTTCTCAATGACCTCCCATGGAGTCCCGGACCAGAATTGCTATGGATGCAATCAGGGGTAAAAGAAGAGGAGTAAAATATGGTTTGTAGCACTTTTTTCTCCAGAGCAGAAACACACCACCTCTATCCCAATTCCTCCAGCCCCATGGCTTGGAAGAGGGTGGGCTAAGAGAAGAGGTGTGGTCAATCATTTGTCCTTCCAGGTGATAAACAGCACAATTTTAAATAAGTTAGCAAGGCTGAAAATGAGCATTCTACATACATTTACAGAGAAGAAAGTGCTGCTCCTGTACATGGCAGATGGCTTCTACACCAAAACACTTTTTATTTAACCACAGCAAAAGGAGCTACTACTCAAAATGAATATTCAATTGGCTGATATTATACCTTATCCTAAATTATTATTGCAACATCCTTATCTTAGAGCTGATGCTGGGCCGCATGAGGGTGAGATTGGGCATTAACATTCCAAACCAGCACCTGCAGCAATGTTTCTTCATGTATTGAGGCTATTAAAACTTATTTTCATATCAGAACATTAGAAACCTTGTAATTGCCCATTTCTCACAAATGTCTTTACTTGCCTGTATTACAGCCTTTTGTATCACCTGACATATGAAAGCTTCCTTCAACTACTCCCAGAATTATTCTGACAAACTCCACAACATCATTTTGTTTCTTCTGAACTGCAGCCACCCTTCAGCAACACACAGTTATAAAATCTCCCCATCTCTGGATCCAATCAAAAAGTGTATCCCAGAGATCCCATTACTGCATACATAAAGAACAGGTCTAGGTAGTGTGGCACATTTCACAGCTTGAAATGTTTTAAAATGGGAGGGTGAGCATCTGCTCCTTTCAGGTACTGCACCATGTGCAGAAGATGTGACAATAAGTGAGAGCAGAATGGATCCTGCAAACCTACTCTATTTAATTAATTGACAACTCATTTGCTTAGCCACATTATGATTTTTAGTCAGTAATATCAAAGACAATGCAGATAATTCTCTATTTCTTCTGAAGAAGCTAAGAAAGAATTTTTTCTGGGAGATTAACAGAGCAATATCTAACAAACTAGTAATTTCAAAGGTTTGAACTAATGGAAAATTCTTTTGAATATTGGAAGCTCTTTTCCATAACTCTTCAAGAAAACACATTTTGTCAATAAAAGCCATTTGAAGTATTTTTTTCCAGCTAAATATTGTCCAGACACCATCAAAACATTATATCAATATCATCTTATGGTTAAATCGACTAATTTATAAATACAACTCATATCAAAAGGACCAGGAACTGACTAGTAAAACTGGGACTTTTAGACCCAAAACAAATTCTGGGCAGAAACTTTATTCTTCACAACAGGAAGGGTGAAGAGCTAACAGATTACCTTTGACTGTGCAAAAGCACCACTGCCTTGTGTTTTGAAGGGAAGGGGCCATGTACCTTCAATTTGCCTTCCTCAGTAGCCCACTGTTGTGACAAGAGTAGGGGTAAAGTTTCTCAAGAGCAAATAGGGAGCCTTAAAAAAGTTTTCAAGCACTTGGATCAGTATTCTTGACTGACAAAATATTGCAAGGATCTAACTCATTTCTCCCCCATTGCCTGTCTCTCCCACTTTGCTTGCTTGGTACAAAGTGGAACACAAAGTCACACAGCTGTCCCAATACTGCAACTTACTTTTCTACCAACACCTTCTATATCCTCCCTAAAAATTCTACTGTGTTGTGCTGTACAGATGAACAGTTTTACTGGGTTTTATCAATTCAGAGTTCTTGAACACAGAGCATCTGGGACATACTGCTGCATCCTACCTTCAGAAAAGGCCATTTCCTGGTGGTGCTGCAGGATGAGTATTTCAGGATGCAGCTGGTGCTGCACTTACAAAGGGACAGGCCATCCTCTGGGGTGCTCCTTCAGCTGCACCAGGAAAAACCCCACCTAATACAGTCTTTCTCTAAATAATCATCCTTATTTGCTATATCCCATACTTTAATTTCTATCCAAAATAACTTGTAAGGCTCTCAAAGTTGAACCTGCCCAATTTTGTCACCTGAGTGAAAAGCAGATTGATCGAGTGGACCGACAGACATGGGAGCTCTCGAACCCGGTGCAAAAGGTGTCTGATCATGGTGCTGGGCTTGATCTGCTCCACTGGACTCAGGGATTCTCACTTTGCTGCCAATATCTGATGTAGACCTGTGTGTTAAGAAAGAAAGAAAAATACAAATTTTTGTCATTCTGAACTACAGATGTGATTTGTAGCCACACACACACCTATATCAGCTCCAGCAGGACAAGCCAGCGAGGAGCAATCTGCCCAACTTTGCTCTGGCATGACAGAAGCCTGGAGAACAACTGCACAACAGAAGTTTGGAGAAGTCTGGAGAAGTTTGAAACCCTTCTAGCAAGTCTTCTAGCCTGGTTGCTCTTTTTACCAAAGCATCGTATAGGGCCTCTGCTTGCTGCTTCAAACAAATGCCTGTGAAACTCAACACTAAAACCAGAGCTTTACCATAAATTCACCAGGGATTTACCATAAATTCACAAGAGCTTTACCGTAATTCACCAGAGCTTTACCATAATTAATTCACCACCACAGTCTACAGACAGTCACAACAGTGTACATGACATGGTATCATAAAGTAGGAGGCCACTGTGGTAAATAACATTACTGCACTTGGGAAGTGCTGAGGTCTTTGGAAATGTTGCAAGTCCAGGAAAGCAGGAGAATGATGGTGTGAATTATCTGCCTCAATCCAGCACACCATTATGAGAACTGAGGCAAAGAATGCTTTAAAACAAACAAGAGACTGCAGTTCCTAAATTTATCAACACAGACTGGCTAACAGAAAACTCATTGTTATTTCATTTTGCATTAAAATGAAACAAAACCAGCATGTTTCTAATTTCAGGAATGTATCTTTTTAAGTGCCATTTCAGGGTTTGCCCCAGTTCTTATTATGACAGTGGGTTTTAGAGACCATGCCTAAAATAAAATAACAGATAAATACCTCCTGAGAGAGGCAACAGCCACAGGACCTGTTCTGGGAGGGACAGGAGGGGGAGGAGAACCCATTACCATCTCAGGAAGCTGAGAAAATCTATAAGCCTGTAACAGAGAAAAATACATATTTTCTGAAACAGCAGTAGATCTCAGTCAAATTGAAAAACAAAACAAAATCAGAAATTAAATACTTGCTCTGTATGCCAGTCAACTGGAAGCTAATTTTTTGTGGCATCAACAATAATTGCATTTATTTGGGAATTTACAGTACTTTGGTGATTTTTGAATGTGGAAGAAAGTCTGAAAATTAGCTCTGAGACAAGATGAAGTCTAATTAAAATAAAACATATTAAACACTGTCTCTGTGACATTTGTAACCTGCATGCCAAAGCAGATCTGTTGTGATTATGTGAGACTCAACAACTGCTCTGGATCATGGGGAAAAGACCTGAGTATTTTCACTTTCTCAAGGAAAAAAGCATTTCAAAAATTCAGAAAGAACCCTCAGAGCAGTGCAGTGAAGCCTCCTGTGAGCAACCCATATTTCAACCTCTTCCTTTCAGCCTTCAAGAGATGAAAAGAAAATTTTCCCCAAAAACCCCCAAATTCTGTAACTTTCCAAAACAGCAACAAGGACCTCAAACAGTTCTGAAAAGGCAGACTGATCCAGAGGAACCACAGGCCCACCCACAAAATCACAAAATTAAGCAGCTTGCCTGCAGTAATTCTGAATTTCATCACCAATACACATGAAGGAGGAGTAATTATGCGCATGAAACTCGGGGCACCCAAGAAATGACATGAAGGACAAAATTTTCCTCCTAAATCCTTTGCACTGCTATAGATTAGAGGCCATAATTTTTCAAATACACATAGAGGAATGATATCTCACTAGATGCTTCACTACATCGTGGGTGAGGGTTTTGTTTTCCTATTGCTTTTTATTTTATTATTTAGTTGTGACTTTTTTTCAGTCGTGGTTTGCATGACGATGCTTCAAAGCAATGCATGGGAATAAAGATAAAATCAGAGGAATAACAAATAAAAAAATTGGGGAAGGCTGAACACTGTTAAGACACTGGCATTTTGAAAAATAAAAAAGGGGTCCAGTGGTGGGACTTTGGTCCTCTAAACAAGAGGAATCTGGTTTACCCAGAGAAACTCCTTCCCAAACAGCAGTGAAAGTTAAAAGCAAATTAAAACACATGGGATGAGTCACACTCTGTCTTCTGCCCAGAGAAAGAGCCTACAGGATTTACATGATTATTTCAGACTTACCACCTACATTTAGATTGGAATTTGGCAATATAAATCCCACACTATATATCAGAAAACGCTGTCTTTCTGTAATCATCTTGTAAAATTACACATTTAGACCATATTCCAAATGCCTTCATTCTCAAATACCTACAAAACTAGGTCAACAAAAAGGAAAGGTAACTTATCAAATTGATTTTTGATGTGTCTCCAAGGGAAAAGCAGTACAGACCCAGCATCTTTCTCTGTCCTCTTACTGCTACCCCTTTTAAAGCAGGTTAGAAACCCTCAAAGGCATGTCTTTGAAAATAATTTTTTCTTGCATGCCACCTACAAAATCTCCTAATATTTACTTTCACCATGCTACCATATTTAAAGCATTTCTACATTTAAGTGGGAGGGGATAAAAAAGTCTAAAAAGACACTGCTACATTCCTTAGCCAGGGGTCAGAAATTCTGATTTTTAATGAAAGAACTGTAAGGAAAAAACAAATGTTATTTGCATCAAAGAAAACCTCAATTATATTTCTCCTGATAGTGCTGGATGTGGAATGGTCTGCAGTGCCTCTTCTGCATCTCAAAGGCTGGCAGTGCCCTCACAGGCTGCCTGAACTCTCCCTTCTGGCTCCACCAGCCTTTCATCCCACATCTTGCTCTCAGCATGCATTTGTGCCAAGCATGAAATCCTTTTTATTCCCCCTGTTTTAAAGGAACAGCACATGGGATAATGTTTGGGAGTGGAAAGCGACTCCAGACACGGTTTAGCAGGGTAGGCAGAGACTCAGAGGTAGATTTGGGGTTTCTCTTGTGTGTTGTGCTTTGGAATATGGACATCAAAGGAGGTATTAGGTATTTTAAGGGATCACAGTTCACAAATATGCTGTGACTTGCACTGGAAATTTTGGGGGAAAAAGTAAAATAGAAAATCTAAGCCTTTATTTTGCTGCTTACACGGGAGATGAGCAATTTTGAGTGAGTGGCAATATTTTGCTAATGGCTGGGCAGAGAGAATCCTGTTAAAGTGAAAAATCCTGTAAAAAGATCTGCTCCACCATGCTGAGGAACTGTTTGTCCAGCAGGGACAGGAGTCAGTCCTTGTTGCCCTGAGCTGCCACACACCAACCTCGTTGTGGGAGGGAATTCCAGTGAAATTTCTAGAGTTTCTCTAATGGGTTGGGGCATCAGTGTTTTCCTGCAGGCAACATATAAATGGGAAAGAAGTGTGTAAATGAAGCCAAAGTTTTACCACAGATGCCTGTTAAAGATTTTTATGAGCCCTTAGGCTCTTGGCCAATGGGCCTGATTGTAGAATTAAAGTCACTTCACCACTGTGAAATGAGTCAGAGAGGAAAACAACAAACAGAAAACATAACCCAGCTGATTTCACAGATTTGCCTAATTTCACTCTTCAAATATTTATCTTTTTTAAATGATCTCTTGGTTTTTAGCAAACGAAAAAAAACAAACCAAAAACCAAAAAAAGAACAAAAGACAAAAAACTTCAGGAAAACATTCTGCATGGGTTCCAACCTCTATTTTATGAAAAATGAGAGTGTCTGTAACACAAAGGCTATAAATCAGGCAGAAGCAATCCCACTTGAGACCCAAGACAGACTGCACAGGTAGCAGAGAGCAGGCCCTGTGCCTCCCTTTCAGTAAGAAATGCCAGTGAAGGAGTCTGCTGTGGCTAGAACACTGACAATTTAAAAAGCAAACCAATAAATAATTTTTAAAAGTAGGAAGTGCAGTTTAGCAGCCATTGGGCCAAGGGCAATAAATCCTCTGGAGGATAAAGTCCAGCCACCAGCATACACCATTGTCTCCTACATACCACGAGAGCCCAAGGTAACACCTGTCAGGATGTAGAAAAGTAAATCACAGACTGGTTTGGAAGGCACCTTAAAGGTTATCTAGGCCCAAGCCTCTTGCAACAGACAGTGACTCCTTCCACTAGACCAGGTTGTTCAAAGCCCCATCCTGCCTGGCCATGGATGGGCCATACACAAATTTTTGGGCAGCCTTCTCCAGTGCCTCACCACCCTCACAGTACAGAATTCCTTGCCCATATCAAATCTAACCCTGCCCTCTCTCAGTTCAAAGGCATTCCCACTTTACTTGCCCTTGTAAAAAGCCCCTCTCCAGCTCTCTTGCAGTTCCTTTAGGTACTGGAAGGTGCTCTAAAGTTTCCCTCGAGCTGTCTCTTCTCCAGGCTGAACAAATCCAAGCCTATGTTCACAGGCCAGCACAAAATAACTAATGTCCAAAGCAGAAACTTTGCAGTTAGTTTTAAGGCTATATTTCCCTAGTTCAAATATTTAAATATTTTTACCACCTTCCACTTACAGATTGGTCCTGGGTGAAAGTATTCTATGTTGCCTTCTAATTACAGAAATATCCATCTCCTTACATCTCACCATAGGAATTAAAAGGCCAGTGTCCTTGTTAACTCATGAAATGATTTAACTTATTTGTTTATTAAATTGCAGTCCAGGAATAATGCAAATTTATTGATTTGGCTTTGCCTTTATAGCTGTCCTGTTTCATACTAAGCAGCTGTTATTGAAAGTGGCTCAATTTTGGTAAAATACTCCCACTTTACCCCTGTTAAATGAAGGGGAGCTCTGAGGACAGGGATGCTTTACCAGTCACTCAGGCTGTAAGTGCTGGTCATCAGTGCCTGTTTGTGGTGCTGGCTCTCACCTTGGGACCCAGAGCTCTGTGACTCTCACTCCTCTTTCCGGAGCACTAAAGAGGAGAGATGGAAACTGGTCCAGCCTCGTGATGGGAGAAGGCTTTCTTCTCTGTTCTTAGCTCTCACTTGACTCAGCTGAGCACATTTCCAAAGCAAATTTCCAAACAAGATCAACCAAGGCACGGAGCTGGCGGTTGGGCTGGTGTCACACGTTCAACCCTTTAACTCCATCCTCCAGTCACAGCACACCAGCTGGGTGCCAAGGACTCAGCCAAGTGTTGTTTTGGAAGCTCCAGAACAACAGGGAGAGTTTGTATTCCACTGGCTTTCCTCTGCCAGGAGAAGGCATGAGCCCCGTGTGGAGGAATCCTCTTTTCACAGGTCACTCAACAGGCAGGTTGGCAAACAGGCATTCCCTCACAAGAGCTACAGATAATTTCAGTATTAATGGCAGCATGTACAGAAAAACCCAACCAAACAAATAAAAAACATGCAGAAGGCCTCAAAAGGGAGAAGAAAATGGAAAAGGAAAAAAAAATGTGTGCACACTCTGGAGAGATACACAAATGATTGATGGTGGGACTAGCCAAGAAGTTGATTACAAAAAAATAAAGATCCACAAATTGGAGGAAACCAGAAGCAACACAGAATTCAAGAGTGGCTCTGGACCCCTCTGCACTTGCTCCATCTAAGCAGACAAAATGCCCTTGAATTTTCAAAGATGAAATTTTCATTTTCAAAATGCTCAGTGTTTTCAATTGTAACAGCATTGTTGATGTTGACTTCTAATTGCCACTCAGAACTGAATTTTAAGAAAGGGAAAAAATGACTAATTCTTGGTTTACAGAGGTAACAAACATCCCAGTGCACAGGTACCTCTCATCCCCAAAGCTGGGGATATTTTCAATTCCAGCCCTCCATGCCCATGAGAACAAACCAGGAAATGGGGTGGTTGAAGCACAGTGCATATTCATGAAACTGATATGCAGAACACTATGAATTACCAGCCCTTATCCAAAGCCCAGCAGTCTGTGCCTATCCTCCTCTCTGGCAATCAACTATCTTCAGGGAATTTAGCTATTTAACTCTGTCTTCAGAATGCCAGAAAGATAAGCAAAAGGTCCCAAACATGCAGATGATTTAGGAGATTAATAAGTCTTAGAAAGACAACAGTGAATCGTTCACCATGAGAAGAGTGGCTATTATATTTTTTTAAAAACCTCTCACCATATAATATTTTTAATTTCATTTTAGAAGGATTCTTTGAAGTGTCAAGGTAATTTGACTCCCTATTAGCTGTCTCTTAAGCTTTTAATTGAATTCTAACCATAAAAAATTATTATATGCTGTACGAATTTCATCGGACCAATTTCAAAGTGCCAAAAATAACCTTAGCATGATTTAAATAGCACCAACCTGAACCTTTGCAGGCAATGCCACTGGCTTTCAGCTGTGTTCAGAATAGTTCAGAAGCAGCATCCCTTAATGTATTTTTTATTGTCAAGGAAGTCATGGTAAGGGTGATTTTTAACTGAGGACATTTTTCTGCATTATCCTCTTATTCTAGCCAGAGTTCGGGACTCAATTTGAAATATATTCTTTAAAAAAATATTCTGACCAAAAAAAGGCCTTAAAATGAACAATTTATCACATTGGTATTGTTAGATGGGCTATTTCTTATCTGAAAGCAATCACCTCTGGTTTAGATTTGTATCTGACACAAAAGAAAATGTATTGTTGAGTTTCACATTACCATATGTGGGAATTCAGGGGCAGTTTCTCACGTGAGGGTGTGCACAGTGCTAGTGTCACTGCTGTCTAGACCCCTACAAAATTCCATTAACAACTTCCACCCTTGGGTTTAAGTTCCTAATTCATGTATTACTTCTGCAAGGTGAGGACGTGTTAGCTGCTGCTTGAGGGTAGAAAATAGGATAAAGGATAAAGTCAGTTATAAGGTCAACTAAGAGACCTGTGGAATTAAATCTTCTCTAGATTTCTTCTCTAGAGACCCAAGCCAATAGCTGTAAGTGCAAGATTACTAATTACAGCCCACATTTCATGTTGCTCTTCAGTGCTGAACCTTTCCAGCAATGCAGAAGAGTTGGTGTTCCCTACCCAGATGTCACCATAATTAATCCCTAAAACCACATTGCTTCCTAATATCCATTACCTGAGCAGAAGGAGATGTGCAAACAAGTTTGGAGTGAGTTGTACAGCACTTCACTCTAACAACTAAAAATGGAGTCATATTTCTCTCTCTACAGGGCTTTTTAAGGATAAACTGTTTGATTAAGAAATGATACCTAAAATATTTTTACTTTTAACTTTATAACTAAGTACCTGTGGTTCGTAATGTGGACTTCTTTATCTAATTACGTAATACTACATAAACCCATGAAGAAGAAGGTGAAGAAGAAGGACTAGCTTCTAAATGTCTATCTAGTCTTAAGGACTAGCCTTAAAACATCTATCTTGTTTTAAATACATTTCTACATTCTAAAACTCTCAGTTTTCTACTATGTGATATTACACACTTCTATTCAAACAATACACTTATAACCTTAGTGCTATCATTTAATTTTGGAAGCTTTCTCTACAGCTTCAGGTGAAACACAGTGTTCTCTTGGGGATCAGTGCCTATCAGCACAGAAAGTCTAAAATTCTCAGCAGCCAGGGTTCCAACAGTTTGGGATCTGTTGAACAGCCTATTTTAAATCTTCAGCCTACTCTGCAGCCTATTCTTTTAAATCTTAGTACAACTTAGACAAGACAACTTTGCTGCTGAAATAGATACTGAGTCTTTCATGGGGTGTGTGTGTGTTGCCAAACTGCAAAGGTTGGTGTCTAGGCAAGCACACATGTAGATGTATATATACACATCACCTACACATACTTATTTTCTGGTTTTAAGCACCTAAATGGGACTACTTTAAAAAAAAAAACGTGGCTCAGAACAGAAGCACCCTTCTGACATTACAGTGTGGCAAAGAGAAGCTCCACTTACGGGCCTTGGCAAGCTGTACTGGTACATTTCCGGCCTGTAGGTGGGCACCCACTGCACGCCCGCCCGTGGCCGGCTCATGGTGCCGGGGGCACTGGTCACCACCTCGGAGTAGGGCAGGTGTGGGGCCGAGCCATAGGCGTCCTGCCGGGGCTGGCCCCCGTGGCCAGCAGAGGCCAGGCTGAAGGCCTCCTCCAGCAGCATGTGCATCTGCTGCCGCACCTCGTCGATGGACGGCTGCGAGCTCAGTGTCGACGTCTCCGAGTGGCCCTTGGCCTGACGGGCCCTGCCGTAATTCCGCGGCTCGTTGACGCGGTCAATGTTGGTTTCTTCTATAATTTCAGGCTCGGTCTGGTGGGGGGGGGAATAAAAGTGGATGTCACAGGCCTTACTTATGCTTTGATAGCATTTACAAATAGCATTTGTGCCACTTCGACATGCTCAAACACGGACGTAACGCACACGGTCATAATGCACATGGACGTTAACACACGGTCGTAACACACACGGTCGTAACGCACACGGACGTAACGCACACGGACATTAACATAAGGTCGTAACGCACACAGACATTAACACATGGACGTAACGCACACGGACGTAACGCACATGGACGTAACGCACACGGTCGTAATGCACATGGACGTTAACACACAGTCGTAACGCACACGGTCATAACGCACACGGATGTAACGCACACGGACGTAACGCACACGGACATTAACACACGGTCGTAACGCACACGGTCATAACGCACAGGACATAATGCACACGGTCGTAATGTACACGGACGTAACACACACGGACGTAACGCACACGGACATTAACACACAGTTGTAACGCACACGGACGTAACGCACACGGACGTAACGCACACGGACGTAACGCAGACGTAACACACACAGGCGTAACGCACACACAATAAGGAATTGTAACAATGTAGACATGTGGGAAATGGAAAAATAGAAACTTCCACAGACACAGGAGGGTTTGATGTGAAGCCTTGGGAGAAGCTTGGGTTGATGTAAAAATAAAATACACAGACATTAAGCAGAAAAATCATAAACATATGTTTCTGTAGTTGTGAGTAAGAATATGCCTTAAGTAAGTAAAAAATGGTATTGATAAGATGGTGAAGGCTTTATAATGCAGGGGTGTAATTGTATAGAGTAAGCTAAGAGTTTAGATGTTCTAATAGAAGCATATGTGTGTATGTGTAACAGTAGCCCATTGGATAAAAGTATCTGCATAGCAGTAGAAGTAAAGGTGATAGGTTAGAAAAGCAAAATAAACCCTATGGCAACTGTCCATTGGATTAAAAAGTTATATATTGTCTTGCAACAAAGAACCTGTGACTACTTTGTGCTATGGCCAACTGCTTGCTCTCTTAAATCTCACAGCCTCTAATAATGATGTTTATCTGAGCAATAAATACTTTTTAGCCCAACTGTGGTCCCATCCCTTTACTTAAAGCACCAATAATAATATAGACCCACAACAAATACTGGAAAGAAATTATACGATGCAGGGGAGTATAATAGCCCTTTATATTCTACATTCTTTGCTGGGAAAAGTAGCAGGGACACTCTGTAGCAGATGAAACTGTCAATGACTCACTTAAAAACAATTAGAATTAATGTTTGAATTCTTGTCTTAGTTGTGGCATCAATGGCAGAGCAACTGTGCCAGGAAGAGTACGGTTCCCCAAATAGTGCCATTACTGTGAAGGACCCCTTACAAGGGACAGATTATTACAGCTAGAGACACTGAAATTCCTTTGTTCAGGCTCTCACATTAAGATTTCTGAAGAGCTAAAGTTTAGGAGTTTTTCTGAACTTCCACAATGACACCACAAATTCAGCCCTGCCCTTGCAGAGAACACCATGGCCCAGCTCAAGGGTCTAACCCAGCCCCCAAACAGGAGTCACAGGTATTTATGCAAAGTTAACCTGGGTACAGGGAATGAAGCACATTCTCCCACGAGCAGACAGTGCTTGGGCAGCTTAGCTTGAAGTGCTACTCCTAGGGTGATTCCTTCTGTACAGATAAGTACAAACAGAAATTACCTCCCTCCTTTTTTTTTTTTTTCCTGTAACTCTGTGACAGAAAACTCTGTGACAAAAAAAATTGCAAGAAGTTGAAAGTGGAATACCACACTTCATTTGTATTTTGTAAGATCAATTTTACAGCCCAGAGTTTTGTAAACATATGTTTTTAACCAGCAACTATAATTATACAATATATAAATATATAATAATAAATATATAATTATAATTTATAATTCTTTAAATACCTGTAAAATGCATTGACTGTGAAGGATAACTGGGATGAGCAATAGGACCTGTGCCTCCTATATATAGCATGTGCTTAGAAACTGTGCTAGTGTTTAATAAAATAGCCCTAAATAAAAGAATACAACAGGATGTTCTTGTTAAAAATTCCAGCACTATCCTGATCATTTCAGTGTTCTGTAACTCCTAGTGAGGCATATCTTTTTTATATCTGTAATAGTGATTTTCTACACCTGAACAGATAAGTGACTGTGCCCCCAAGATTTTGTAAGCTGTAGGAAAATCATAAAATATATTTATTCCTTTTCAAAGGGAAATACCAAACTGGTGTTTTTTCTCTTATCAGCCACTCATAAAAGAGTTACACTGGTAATGAAAACTGATAACAAATCTAAGTAAAATACTAATTTGCTTTCTCTGTTTTAAGCATAGCTATGTTTTGTATCAAAGGAAAGTATGGCAGTAAAAAAGAAAGAAAAATTAGGATAAACACTAAACATTTGCACATTAGAATTTAACCATAATTTACATAGTCATGATTACACAGTATATTATCTAAATTCAAAACCACAAACTCAAATTCAGGCTTCCCAAGTGGTACACACATCAGATTGGGGGAAGGAGAATGCAAGTGCACCAAATTATCTTAAATGGAAAAACTTCATAGGAAATCTTCAACTAAAAACTCTTCCTTAATTTCATTCCTTCATTTTGATTCCATTGGTGTTTGTGTTGCTACAATAAATAAAAATCAGACACATTTTAGAAAGCTGACTATAAAATGCAATGTAGTTTGTGTAAGTGCAGCCAGAGAGCCTCTGAAATCATAATATCCTGACAGGATGATTAACAGCCATGGTTCTTCTATTTGCTCATGCCTGCAAAAATGTGAGTGGAATCCCACACAGACCTATTAGTACCCAATGCTGAAATAAATCAGTTTTTTTACTACAACTCACAGACCCCCACAGAATGTTAAAAATATATCACATGTATACAAGATTCATATTAGCAGCCAACATTAAGGCAGCTTTGAATCATCAATATAAAAGCTGACATGTAGATTTTGGAGAAAAATAATAATAATTTCTTTTCCTCATATTTTAAAATCTATTTCAATTCATCCTATCACTTTCTGAGTGTTATTTGTTATTTTGTTTGTTATCCTTTCAACTGAAACACGTAGCTATCCTAAATAGAGGCCACCATTACACAAAATCATACACAGGTACTGTATAATAAAAGGGACTAGATGTACATGAAGAAAGCAAACAAAACCCTGCAGTGAGAGACAGACTTTCTGTACCTCTTGAATAATTCTGCTGCTGCAACATTATCAGTAAAATTCTTTATGTGAACATTAATCTATAACCTTTGGGATGCATTGCATTAATTTAGCTATATCAACTAAATTCTGCCCATGAATTCTTTTGTATACTGATCTCTTAGACATGTATAATAAGGTAATTTTCTTCCTTTGATAGCAAAAACAGCCTGAATATTTTCTGCTATGGTATCAATCTCATTAGAGCATTTTAGATGTTCTAGAATCTTTTGTTATGGCATTTACTCTACACAGAGTTGTTCATGAACTTGTTGAAAATAATAAACATGTTAATAAAGTCTTCTGAGTCTAATTCCTAATTGAAGGTGATGATAGTAAAACCTGTTGGGATTCTTTAAAATGGAAAGCTAGATACTGTTCAATAATAATTCATTTATAAAAGACACTATGAAGGCAAGTAATATACTGAGAACATCAAACAGTAGAACATATACTCCAAATTAATATTAAAAGCTACATATTCCATAAGGACAAATGTAAAATATTGTATCTTTATCCTCGTATCTTCAGCAGTTTTTAGCTCTGACAAACAGAACCACAATTCAGAGAAATATCACAAAAAATAATTATAGAGAATTAAGTATTTCTAGAAAAGTATGAATGAAGTATTTTAGAAAACCATTTAGAAATTTGTTATTGAAAGGAAACCTTGTGGTTGTGCCAATGAATGGTGAATTCTTAAGCAGTTTTCTTAAAGAATCTGGGAGATCTCAATCTCTTTTCTTTAAATATAAAAGCATTATTGTTGTTGGGAAGAAAATCCTCAACACATAACCTGGGTGTACTGGTAACAGTTCAAATTCCCTCCACAAATTTTTATGCTGTAAAAAAGTCTCCCGACTTTTTCAGGCAATACCAACTATTTGATTCATAAATTAAATTTTTTGGCACTGCTTATAAAATGCAGATTTCACTATTCTTTGGCAGGACCTGCTGCTAAATAACATGCTGGGAGGAAGAGTTTAGCAGCACTCTGAGAAGGCTGGAACATTTAATATGACAAATCAGATGTCAAAAATGGGTGTCAGGTGTTGCTGTATGAAACAGAAAGGGCACACAAGTCAGCACTCAAAGCAGCCCTTTCTCACCCATTTTCAGAGGTCAGATTTCCAGAGGTGTTTAGCTGGTGAGATCCATGAATTCCATGGATGCAGCCATCAGTGGGTATCCTGGGAGATGAAGCCTGTCAGACACAGCTCCGAGGAGCCTCAAACAGGAGAGGAGGACCAGCCCACGCTGCAGGCTCAGGCTTGGCAGCTAAATTTCAATATCCTGTCCCATTTCCCAGCAGCATTTCTGTGCTTTCAGATGGGAAATGCATTCAGAGCTGGAAGAGGTGCACTGCAGTGAATCTGCAGTGCATTGGGCTGAGGGATTTTATGTAACTTATCAGTGAAGCACTGTGCCAGGGACAGGTTGCCCAACTGCAGCACCAAAGGCAAGGCAAAGGCAATTTTTTCTGTGATGTGCACACATCTCATAGCTTACAATTACTCTGAGGACACTTCAGAATCTGCATAAGCTCATTAATCTACTTCCAAGGTTTTTAATAAATTTTCTTTAAAATATAGTTTATATATAGCATACACAATATATTGAAATATATTTTTAAAATCTACTGCCGTGCCTGCTCCCAGAATGTTTTCAACACTGATTTCCCTGTGAAAAACTAGCTTTTATTAGCATTGTATTGGCATCCTAATTCCTCAGAAAGCAGTGTACCAGTCAGCCCACTCACACAGCTCCATATGACTCCTGCAGTCTGATGGGAAGTGTCCAAATGCAAGGAATCATTTCAGAAATCTGACAACTACAACCTGCCCTGAAGAAGTTTGTAAAAGGTTTAAACTTTCCTGAACACATCCCCCCAACTTTGGTACTTTCTTTCTCCTTGCTAAAATCACATTCCTGGCAGAGAAAAGGTTGACAATGAAACACCCCCACACAGAAAATGTTTAGAGGATGAGCAACCACAGGTGAACTTCGTAGTTTTCCAGAATGGTTTAGACCCTCTCTAGGACTGATCTTCAGGGCTGGCTGAGCAACAGTAGTTTGGACATGTGACAAAGAATTGAAAAACTCAACATTTCCCTAGAGTAGGGGATATTTTTAATCCTCCTTCTGGGTTCACACAGCATCAACTTGCACCCAGTCTTTGTTCAGATTGCACAAGGCAACTCCTCTGCCTTGTGCTGGCTGCATGAGCTCCTTGGACCATAAAGCAACATCACCTCTAGCTGGGTTTGACGTTTACCTACAAAAAACTCTCCCAGTTCTGATGGGAGCAAGAGAACAATCCCTGTCCCTAGGGGATTTCCACCAAACACTGCCATTGGGACTTAGATGAAAATCCCAGAAGATGGCTGTTCATTCTTCTGAACCAAGAGAGCAACTCCAGGCTGCTCTTCAGAACAAACAGAGGATTTTAATTGCAATGAAGAAAGCTCACTGTCAAGTAGCCACACACTTAGAAGAACTATCTAAATTCAAGATTTAATACTTTGGCAAATAATGGGGTTTGGGCAAAGGTTTTGTTTGCATTTCAAACTGTAAAATGATGTAGAGTGATAAAGTACACAAAAGAGTCTGAGCTTTCTTCAGGATGCTGAGTGCACATAAACTCCTGTAACACTAAATATCTCATGAGGATCTGTCTTGTGGCTTATCACTTGTTGCCTGGAGCAAGTCAAGGCTTTGCTGAGCAGATTTCTCTGCCTATACCCAATAAACTTACATCATATCCACTGTTCCGGATGCCACGCCTCGGCCTTTCTCGAGTCACCAGCAGGTCCATCTCCGTTTCCCCTGGGCTGGGACTGTTCAGGGACTGCCTGCTTCTGTACACTGAGTTCTTCAGGGGCTGCCTAGAAAACACCAAACAAGAAAATGGTAAAATGAAAAAAGAAAAAATAACAACAGACAGTAATTGTCAATACTCACCTTTATTCTAAAATGATGACGTCCATAAAAATATCACTTTGTTACAGGATATTCTTTCTATATACATGAAGTGCTAGAAATCAGTAACCTTTTTAAGAGATGATTAATTGCTTTTTACAGTTTAAGGAAAATAAAAGTTATGTTAAAGACATGGACATTGTATGTGGGAGCTTGTCAGATGAAATATGTCCCAAGAAGATATCAGGACCCTTTTAACTTCAGCTGATATGATTCAAACTCATTAAAAAAAAAAAAACATATTAAAAAATAACAAGCTCTCCCACACACACAGATGGGGAGCAGAGATTTTGGTTGCTGATCCTGAGCACTGAGAGAGAAGCAGGAAAAAGCTCCACTGAAACAAACCCCCAGCACAGGGAAGGGGAAGAGACACAGCAGTGGGAGGAAACTGTTGCAAGATGCTGGTTTTAAATAGCCAGTTTGGTAACTGGCCACAGCTTTCTCAGAGAGCTGTCCTTCCTGACATTCAGCTGCTTCACTGGGACAAAACGCTGCTCATCTCTGGCACTGAGCTTCCACTCCTGGGTGCTCCAAGCCAAGGGGAAGCAAATGCAAGAGAAAGGGAGAATAAAACTAAATATCCAAAATACCCAGTAATCTCTCCAACAAAACCATTTTTGCCCTTGTTGCTGGTTATACAAAAACAAATGCAGCATCCCTCTGTGAAATACAGAGCATATCTGTACATATCTGCAGGAGGGTTTGCCAAATGGTACAGGAACTTTATGCTTCATCAAGCTGTATCTTTTAAGAAGGCTACTTCTACACCAGCCAAGTTTGTGAGTTGTTCTCATGCTGTGTCTGGCCATTACTCATTTTGCTGCACACTCCAGAGGAGCACTGCTCCTGAAGTAGATCAGTAACACATGAAATAATGGCATGCCAGCTTCATTTATTAACACAGTAATTACACTGCTAGAGCCTGATACAAAGTTATCTTTGCCTAGCCACGCTATTTTTCTGCCTTGTGCAATTACTCCATTCAGAATATTAAAATTAGATCAGGTCATCTAACATGTTTCTGTGCTGCTTATTTCGCACAGAGGACCTGCCAATGCTCATAGTGAAGTAAGACAAGTTGCACTATTATGTCTGAAGTCAGACTTTCAAGTCACTCCATGGTTTAACATCTCAAGAACCATCAATGAAATGAACAGACAAGACAGTCCAAATTAATTCACTGATAAATAATTCTTCAGTTATTCCAGATCTTGTTAACAGCACTTTTTGCCTTGACAGATTAGAGCAGCAGAAACTGGTTTGCAGAAATCCAAAAAGTAGGACATTTACATGATCAGACAGGATAAAAGGTAGGACAAAAAAACCCAATTTCACGCTTCTGATTAAATAAATTACTCAGGCGTGTACTTAGTTCTATGACAACTTTCCAAAACTTCTGTGTGACCCTTGATCACAAATCACCATGCTCGTGTTTCAAAGTCCCAAATGCACTGCCAAAGCAGAAGGCAAGCAGAGTTTTTGGAATAAGTTTCCCCTAGAAAAATAATATTGAGTAAAATCTTTCTTCCTATATAGTCTTTCTCTGACTATACCGTTGGTATTAACAGAATACAGGGTTATGCACAGGGTAATCAGATCTGACAATCTCCATCTTCTTACATCAAAGGTCTCCAAAATTTCATATGTTTTACAATAGGTCCATAAATACTTAGTTGAGGCAATTGTGATATATTTTCTAAGGGATTCAAATATACAGCTCTGTAAAATGTGCAGATTCTTGACCTGATTGCAAACTATTAAAAAAAAATCCAAGAATAGTGCATTTCATCAGTAGGCTCTTAAAAATTACCTTGAGATTGCCAATTATCTCATTTAAGAGAGTTTTACTAATGAGAAAGGAGGTATGAACAGGAACAACTGGCATTCAAATGGGTTAGGAAGTGCCTTCTGGGAACACAGCTGGAATGTTTTAAAATATAAGGATTATGGTACTGATGACTGAAAGGTACCTAGAGCACAAAGCTCTGTTCTGGAAAAAAAATCAAATCATTTAGCAGCAATGCTTTGTAAATCAATTTTTAATACAATTTAAAATTAATTCAAAATATTAAGGTAATCTTAAGTAATCAACTGTGTCCCTATTTTCTGATATGTTTTGGAAGTGCTGTAACAATGTGACTTAAGTTAGAGGAATATATATAAAACAGAAAAGAGTAGAATAGACCTTTCCCCTAGAAACTTTGAAATCTTTACCTTAGTTTTTAGTGATATCATTTTAAAAATTACAATTTTTTCAAGTTTTAATTGCTGTAACAATGATTCAAACCAGAAAAGGATAGAAATAATTTTTTTCAATTATATGCTTACCCAGATTGCTTTTAAAGCAATTTTATCTCATTACAGAAATGCAATTGTATTGATTCATTTATCAATAACCAAACCCCACACTACCTTGTGGTATTTTTCAAGGTTTTCCTCCAGCAGTGTGATATTTTAGCCATCTTATTTTTGTTAGAAAACTAAGGACAATAATTTTCATACCAAATTCAGTTCCAAGTCTTAGTGTGGAAATTTTAGCACAGAATTCAGAACTGGTGTGTTTGTAAACATCTGCAGCATCTGTAAAGTTCATTAAGTGTTCTGTATCTTCACAGAAAGTGCATCAGAAGTGATTCTCTCTCCTCATGTGGGGATACAGGTCATATATTTAACCAGTCCAGCAGCCAGTTTCATGGTGCAGCTGGAATCATTGGAATCATTCCTCTACAGGAGTTTACCTCCCTCTCAGCAGTTTCTGTCATTCCAGGGATCCCTGGCTGAAATAAGCTGTGGCAAATTTACACAACACACAGGAAAAAATGTATGGGATCTTCCCACACACTGGCACGTGAACAAACATCAGTGTATTTAACAAAAAGCACGTGTATTTAACAAAAAACTTTAAAGCTTCACTTTAAAGTTCTAAACACTCCTGTGAGCCATGTGACACATGATTAGCATCCAAATTAATGCCTCAATCAGTCACAGCTACACCAATGTGCTGAGGAGACTTTCCAGCTTCCTGGACTAAATGCATTCTTCAACAGAGGTTCCCAGTGCTCTGTCTGTACCTCCTGGACAGAGTGTGCAGAGCAGGGCTCCCATGTAAGGACAAGCTCCATTTTTTACCCTCTCAGTGCACAATAAATTGGAAAACTGCACAGGGAAATGGTGCCCCAGGACATCCAATATAACATACAGCTGAGTCAGCCTTTTCTCCTCAGTGACCTCTGCAGCCCTGGCAAACAGCTCTTCCAGGGCAGTATCCCTCAGCCACTGAACTCTAGACCTACAGAAACACATCTGATCTCAGCTTTTGCCCATAATCTGAGGCAACAGTGGTTTTGTAATTCCCACTACAGTCTTTTTCATGCCTGTGCCTCGAGGGTAATTGCTGCAGCTGCACTGTGTGCAATGCCTGTGTCACCAGTAATGCTCTGATTGCAGTCCATTCATGCTCATAGGAAAATTCTGGTCCGAGCTTTCCAGGAGATGGGATGCAAGATTGCACCTCCAGGCGTGAGGGCCATTTCTAGGGGAAAGGTGCTTCAGTATCTCTTTTTCTCTCATGGATCAACTGATCTTAGTCCCTGATTACAGAAAGAGCCAGAGCCCTCCTGTGCAAGGTGTAATGGCAAACACACCTTCTTACCATCCCTCACGCCTCCAGAACTTAAAAGCAAGAGGAATCTGCACACTGTGCCATTCCTGGGGTAGGACTGGTGTGATCTCCTCTTTCCAACGTGCCAGTTTGTGTTTCAGAGAGCACCAGCAACAGAGCACCCACTCACGGCAGCAGCTCAGGCACAAGCAGCACCTGCACTCCCCCCTCATTTCTAAAATGGGCTTTTGAATGCTACTGCTATGCCATCCTCAGGAGACAGTCAAGTGTTAATCAAACATTGGCAATGTTATACAACATGCCAGCTTCACGTGACAGATGAGCAAATTATGAATTTCTCTGTTAAAGGCACAGGAAGATCACCAATAACAGGCACACAGATACTATCACTGCAGGACTTACAGGGACAATGCACTGGTTCAGCTATCTCATGCCCTCTGCAATAGTTATATTCAGATTAAAGTAATGACAAAATAGTAACACCACTGTATTTTGAAAAAGAACCAATTCAGATGCTAACTTCCTGCCTAAAGTCTGCTCTGAGTACCACCAATAACATTACTACCACTTTTTCTGTTTACTTTTGAGAATGACTCACAAGAACTTGCAACAGTCCCTTACCTTATTTTTTCTTTCCATTCGTTTGTTTTTATCCACACTGCAGTTTTACCAGAGAACATGTTTTCCATGGGCTGTATGAATTTTCTTCATAAAGCAGAAGGGGCCAGTGACCAGATACAACAAACACCTGGCTCATTAAAATGGCCCCCCTGACTCCCAGGACATCAACTCTCCTCCCAAATGAAGAACTGCAAATAAAAAGTCTCACCTGTTCTTAGGCTCAGCAAATGGAGACGAGACATCTGCATCTGGATCTAAAATGTGGTCAAGTTCTTTCTGGTTTTTCTCATACATCCTTTTTCTGTCTGTCAGCGCCTTGCTATTATCAACCTGTGGGAAATCATAGTACCCTTTCCTCTTGGCTTTCAGGCGCAGCTTGTTGCGGTAGTGCTCTATATCAGACTTCTGCTTCAAAGCCTTGTTCACCTAAAAGGCAAGAAGATGTTTCAGGGGCTGCTGGTGGGCTGGCTACCTCCAAAGGATCTCGTCAGCGCGTGTTTGATGCGCCGCGTGTGTCATCCCTCTGTAGCACACCGTGCCATCTGCAAGCAGCAAGGAACTGCAAGTGAACAGAGTCGCTGCATTTTTATGGCTTGGCAGATGGTTAAATAATTTTAGCCTAAAAAAACTGTGTACCATTACAACAGTGACTCAGAGACACCCACTGAGGAAAAACACGAGTGGTGTCAGCCAACCACCATGACCCAGCGCTGCACATGCTTCGGGGCACAGCTCACCTGTGTAAACTCTGCTGGGGTACAGACATCCCCCCTGACTACACAAAACCTGAAATAAGTCACCACTGATAGCTGGGGAAGGACTCCAGTGAAATGTCATCAAATGTCTATTTTGTTTATACACTTTCTGACAGGCTCCTGTGTGGTGGTGTTCACAGGGTCTTAGGATGAGGGAAGAGACGAGAATGTTGACTCCATGTTTCAGAAGGCTTGATTTATTATTTTATTATATATATTATATTGAAACTATACTAAAAGAATAGAAGAAAGGATTTTATTAGAAGCCTAGCTAAGAATAGAAAAGGAATGATAACAAAGGCTTGTGACTGACTGAGACAGTCCAGACAGCTGGACTGTGATTGGCCATTAATTAGAAACAACTAACATAAACCAATCACAGATCCACCTGTTGTATTCCACAGCAGCAGATAATTATTGCTTACATTTTGTTCTTGAGGCTTCTCAGCTTCTTAAGAGAAAAAATCTTAAAGAAAAGATTTTTCATAAAACATGTCTGTGACACTCCTGTCAGAGAGGAACCTTTAAAAAAGGGGTGTTTGCTCCATCCTGGTACAGCTTAGTCCCATGGTTTCTCTTAAGTACCAAAAGAACTTCCTTCCTGCTTCAAACTGCAAGTTACTTGGAAATCAGGGATTTACTTCATCTTCCAGAGTCAAATTCCACAGTCTCCTCAAACTACAGGAAGTGTGTGTGTAAGGGGGCACACAGCACCAGCAGTGTCATCCTGCTGCCTTACAGAAAAGAGATGCTGAATGCTAAATAAGCCTTTCTCCGAGTTTGGAAGCCACATGGCACATCAGGACTTAAAATGCAAGTATGAAATAGAGCACAACAGGCTGCAATAATCCAGGCCCACATGGGACCTCTGTCTTTTACAGTGTCCCTGGCAGCAGCCCTTCCTGCTGCTTTTAAACTGTTTTTAGCTGTTTAAATGACTGTTGCAATGCGACTTTGTAAACAAGGTGCCTCTGTGGCTTGTTCCCATCATGTTCAACAACTTCATAAAAGCCTCAGTCCTTTGTAAATGGACTGGTCTTGATTAAATCTACATCAAAACATGAGTATAAATATTGCAGTCAAAGCATGTTTTTGGCCAGCATCTGGAGCAGACAGTTGTGCCATCCCATTTTTTTCCTTCAAACAACTGCACCCTCTGTGCACAGGCTGGAGTGCAGAGCAAGGAGGGTCCCACTGCCCCCCTTCTCACTCTGATTGAGATGTAGTGTTCAGACAGAAAGATCAGCCTGGCACCCAGATGATCTATGCATATTTTCATACCCAGCTACAGAATTCACATAGGAAAAGATGTTATTCTGCTGCCTTCATTACTCATTTTTTTAAATAGGAGAGAGGGACACTGGGAGGGTAGGAATATAGAAAATCACCCTTTCCAAGGTCGCAGGCATTCACAGGTGCATTGTGAAAGAACAGATCTTAAATTCTCAGGTCTGTGCACTCACAGTGCTAATGGAACTTTATGTAGCGTAAAGGTGAGAAGCTCCTAGCAGCCCTCAACTCTAACAGGCTTAAGATCCTTCCACTTGTGGCTGTAGCCAAGGAAACACCTGGAGACACTTCTCAGACAGTCCTTACCTCCCCATTGGTGATGGCAGACTCCTGGCTCCTCTCTGAAGCAGCATGGACAGCAGGGAGGGCCACGGGTTTGATGGCGATGAGCTGCACCGAGCCCGAGGAGGTGTCAAAGGGGTCCACGGCAGATTTGGCAACATTATCAAAGAGAATCCCTCCTTCCTCTTCATCACTCACGGCCACTAGAGCACATCAAACTCACTCAGCACAAAGGCACAGACATTTCTGCTGCCTGCTCGAGGGGAAATTCAGCAAGCACACGCTTTGGGTTAATGATGTGCTCAGTGCACTCAAGGTGCAGGCCTGGGAGACCTTTACACCAGGGGAAAACATCCCATTAGAGCACAGGAAATATTATGGATTCAAAGGATTGTCTGTCCCTTCCCCAAAGAAGGTTTCAATCTGTGCTAATAAGATGGGAAAAAGGAGAAGAACGACACAGGAAATGGTATGAAAATGACAGTGAGAGTTAAGGTAGATGTTTTTCTAGGTTTCACATGGAAGCATACACACACAGGTGCCCATGTGCCAAGGCATCAGTAGCTACACCTGATCAAACCCAAGAGTGCAGCTTTTTTTCTGTCTTATGCTGCAAGAGCAAGGGCATCCTCAAAATTTGCTAAAATTAATAGGTTTCTTTATCAAAACTTATTAATGCTAAAACCACCATTTATTAAAATAAAAAGCATTTTCTGCTGTGTGTTAAAAATGCTTAAGAAACTGAGGGTATCTAATCTTATGTTAATTTTTTGCTTTGCAAGCAGTACCTCAGGTGTCTGTGAAGTTGAACTGTTACAATTTCTTAAGAACCAGAAAAAGGCTTCTGTAAGTCTTTAAAATTAAATGGCATGGCAAAGCATCTTTAGTTTTAGATTTCTATATAAATTAATAACTCTCCCACATGCAATTGGGCCCTTTCTCCTCCAAATTTTCTTTGCAAATCTGCATCACTTTGTCAGCTGTTGAATCTGAAAAATCTTACCCACATTTTGAAATAAAAGAATGACAGTAAAGCATGAGCACAAATTCTACAAAGAGATCCTTGCGAACATTTTTGAATAATTATGCTATTAGAGGGAAGAATGCTTGCTCCATCTCCTAGCTGACAGGAGCAGAGATCCTCTGCTAAAGAACAAAGTGGTCTGCTCTAAATTTATTTCCTCTGAAAATAAACTCTAGTTTAATATTTAATCACTGCACGAATTACAATGGACTTGTATAAACTCAGCAGTTTAGACAGCCAATGATTTTGGTAAGAAAATATTTGACAGCAGTAACATAAAACATGAACCCACTGAGTAAGCTCATTATCTCTGTCTGTGCTCAGTGTAACTGCAGTTGGCACCACTTGAGCTTTTGAGCAATAGATAGGTTAAATCACTGTGTCATTAAATACTGTCCCTGCAGCTCCACAGAAGTGTCCAAACACCATCGAGGCTTCAGAGGGTCTTGAATGGCCCTGTCCCTCCTGGGGTTGCTCAAACATTCCAGATGTGTGTGCCCTATACCTGAGGTTGCTCAAACACTCCAGATGTGTGTGCTCAATGGAATGAGCAGCTCACAAGCCCAGCTCAGTGACAGTGACCCAGACTGCAAGGGACCACCAGGACACCACAGCAGCAGGAGCAGGGAACGAGGGGATCCTCTCCTGGCACTGACCACATGTTACACATTACAGTGACTATAAAGGTGAAGCATGGATGCTCTTCCCTGGGGGCATTTTGAAACCTGGTAGCCACAGAGAGCTCAGCTACCTGCAGATGCATGGGGTGTCCCCTCAGGCCTCGTTTCAGGAGCAAAAACCAAGAGTTTTTCTTAATGAAAGAGAATTCCTCTAGGACTCATTAAAGGAAAGGAAAATTAAGGGTGAAAAGAATCAGAAACCACAGATGACAGCAAATTCTGGTGGGGAGCTCACTCAGTATCAGCTCTCTCAAAGGTAAGCACAACTCCTGCACCTACTGCAGTTTTACTGGCATGGAAATGAAAGCCAAATGGGGCTAGAAACTGGAATTTTATTCCACCCTACCTTAGCATTTGCTTGTTTATAGTGTAAAAGTATTTTCAGGTTTTTTCCCCACTGCCCCTTTTTCACTGGTAGGTGATAAAGATAGCCTGTGATCTGCAGCCACTGGCACACTGCTGTAACAGGGCAGGGAACTGTAGCAAGCACTGGGAAATTCATCCTTTGCTCCTATCCATCCTCCGAAAGGAATTTACAGCAACCATTTATGACATGACTGAACCATAACAACCTCCAAACTTCGAAAAACAAACCAAAGGAAGTCCAGAGAAATGTTGGGGAAGTCCTGGAATGTTTGGTTTTGCTGTGTATCCCTGCCCTGAGCCAGTCCATCCATGGGTGAGCAAGTGGCCAGCACGGGAAACTTCAGGAAACTGCCCACACATTCTTTATAGTCACTCACAATAATCACCCTAGCTTGTTATAGCTAGCAACATGGTTTAAGAGTGATCTTTTAAATTTCTGTTTCCAAACAGATGCATTCCAGCACTACTGTGGAGTTCTACTCCCGCCGGCACTGTGTGAGCACAGAGACTCAGAAGCTCAGCAGCAGAAAAGGGTAAAACCCAACTTAATCACTACTTAACAGCACTTTCCCACCTCTGAAATACCTCGTGCCAGATATCTCATGCCACATGATCCACTGAGATGGAATTACTCCTCCTAATCTTTCTGTGGCTGCAGCACATGATGAAAGCACATGCTACCCAGAGCAATCATTGATGCAGGTCAAGGGTCAAGTGCCAGGTGCAGTGAGGAGCAGGGTGGCACTGGGTCCTTGAGTGTGGGGCTGTGAGGTCCCCAGGACAAGGTGAGAGATAAGAATTTGACTCCATGCTCTCAGAAGGCTGATTTATTATTTTATGATATGATATGATATTAAAAAAAATGCTATACTAAAACTATACCAAAGAAAGAGAAAGGATACATCAGAAGGCTAGAAAAGAATGATAATTAAAGCTCGTGATTGCCTCCTCAGAGTCCAACACAGCTGGCTGTGATTGGCCATTAATTAAAAACAACTCACATGTTTGGCTAAACAATCTCCAGACCACATTCCAGGTCAGAAAAACATGGAGAAGCTGAAGCTTCTCATCTTCCCAGGAGAAGAAATCCTAGTGAAGGGATTTTTCAGAAAATATCACAGTGACACCTGAGGAGCAGCAGCATCCCTGAAGCTCTGTCTCCACACCTCTGCAGCCATCAGAACACGAGGTCTGCCCCAGGGATGCTGTCCTCCCATTTCCAGGCAGCTCGGAGCTATTCCAGCCAGCAGTGCCAGCAGGTGGTGCTGCCCACTCGTGACCAGCTGGTCCCATGGAAAAGGGGCTCTGGGACTGCAGCTCTGAGCAGTTAAAAAACAATTAGGCAGGTGAAGTATTCTGGTTTCATCTAGTTAATAATTTAGAGTTAAAAAAAAAAAGTTATGCTTTCGTCAGCCAAAGATTTCAATGAGGCCATGGAAGATTCCTTGTCTCCTCTCTCTTTCCCTCTACCTTATCTTTCCTCCCCTCTCCCTCATCAAAATATGCTGGAATGCAGAAAAAAAAGGACTGAAATACTTGCACTTCAAAAAAATAAATAAAAATAAGGACATTTAAATTTCCTGTGAATCAGGTAACCTTCCAGCCAAACACATGAAACAAAGGTTTGTGCTGTCCTGCTCAGAAAGATTTTGGAAACCCTCAGAAAAAGAATGACATCAATAGAGAAAAACACATAAAGCCATAACTTGGGAAACACCTGCAAGAAGATGGACATGCTCTGCCTTTTCTTACATCACTCAAAGAAGTACTTTTGAAGATTTATTTTAGATGAAGGGAAGGCAAACATTGTAACCATAACTACAGTATCTATCTGCAGTTTGACAAAGAGCAAGCAGTGTCACCTATCTAAAAAAGCTCCCTAGGAAAAAGCCCAGGTATCAGTATTTCAAACAGAAATGCTGACTCCTGAATATGATTTAATAATGGGGAACTAGTTTTCATTTTAGAGAAAATCTCTATATAAAGGAAAAAAAAATAGACTTTTTTCCTATATCATCCAAGTTATTCCATTGGTCAGATAAATATCTCCAGAAAGACACAAAGAGAAGCTTAAGCAATTAAAAAAATCTGTTTCTGAAGGAGTTTATAGGCCTATAAGTAAAATGCAACTTTGCCAACATTAGTATCTGAACCTATATGGACAGAAATACCCATCTGTAAGATATTTCAGTGTAACAGAAAACACACTTGTGTACACACACACCCTTCCACAATTACACCCAGCTCTGAGACACTGCAATGCTAAACCTCCCAGAAACAGCACAAATACTGTATTTTCAGAAGTAGACAGCTTACAGACTAATGGAAGCAGCTCATGATTCCTCCTGGACAGTATTTCCTTGGGTGTAAATTCTCCTAAATGCTTGGTGATGTGCCTGAAGTGTTGCAGTCATGGCTTTGCCTGGGATTCTGAAGCAGGAGGCACCTGAGCAGGTCATTGGAGATCTCCAAAGTGGTATTTGCAGGTTTCCAATGAAACTGTGTACACAGGGTGAGTATTTGTCCTTTAGCTGCTTGTTTGGTTCCCTTTTTGTGAAGGTTTACTGTTCTTATAAGCAGGGATATCTCTCTCTCTCTTTGGTTATGTCTTCTCCAACCACATCTGCCTCATCTTTCTAAACATCAAAGTCTTTCCAAAAAAGACCACATATTTCATAATGCTTCCAGTGAATCCACCAGCCCCTTTTCTTGGCTGACACTTCTGTAATAAGTAGGTATGTTCACTAATTAAAAGAAAATTATTTAACTGACAAGGATGGTGAACACACAAAGACAGGGAAGACATGAAGCCTACAACAGAAGCTTCTTCAAGGAAATGGTGCTGCAGAAGTTTTAAAAACCTTTGCAACAATAATTTTCTGTTTGCACAATAAAACTGTACATTTGTCTTCTTCACTGCTGACATATAAGTGAAAAATCCCAGCCATCCAGACTGCCAGTGGGCCTGATGGCATGAGCATCTACATGCTCTTTACACTGCTGCTTGGATGAAAACTCCTGTCAGACTCCATTAGTGGCAGAGCCAAAGTCATCTAGAGGGGAAAGCAAACGTGAATGAAGAAATATTTAACTGTGTGACCACTTGCAGATCCCAGATCCCTCAGAGATCTGCTGCAACAGGCACCTTAGCAACACAGCATGCAGTATTTTCTTGCCATGAAAACAGCAACCAAAAAGGGTCAAAAAAAAAAAAATTACATTGAGTAAGTCTGAAGAAAAAAAAGGGTTGACAGTCACCAGCAGGATGCTAGCAGGGTCACAGTGCTCTCACTATTTAAAGCAAATAAACAACAAAACCAAGGGCAGTGGAAGAAATGGAAACGGTAAGGGGAAGAATTAGTCTGTGTCACACAAGCTGAAATCTTGGGAGAAAAGGGAATCAATGTGTAAAGCTTCTGGGAGGTTCAATAGCAACTGGTGCCAACACACAGGATTACAGCTGAACAGGTGGATTTTGTTTATTCTTTGAGGTTTTTTCCCCTTTCTGGTTAAATGTAGTAAATTACTCCAAAAAGCCTAGGAGTTTGCCGTGAGGAGGTGAAGAGTAGGATGAAATCCCCAAATTAAAACCCATCTGGGGGCAAATGAAAATAATGCTTCAGGATGAGGGAATGTAGGATGAAAAGAGTAGGTTCCTTTCTCCACACCACAAATTCTTCCCAGCACTCTGATTTTTCAGCCTTTCAAAGACACAGGTATCATGAAGAGGAATCATCTCCCTCCAAATCTGAACAGCTGCTCCAATGCAGGGCTCCTTTCTGACTGGATCTTACCTCCAGTGATCTGTCCCAGTTGGCCATGACCCTCTGGCAGCAGCCCCTTCCATTCTGATTTGTACTTCACTCAGCACAAAAAAGGCAGAAGAAGGGTGGTGGGTGTTTGTTAGGATCCACCAGCTCCCCCAGCTAACTCTGTGTCCAAGCTGCCACCAGACAACATTGCTGTTGCCATATTTCCCTTTATTTTGAATCACCATAGACAACTGCTCAGAAATTCAGAAAAACAGGCTCTGATGCTGAGCTGCCACATCAGACAGAGTGAAAACTAGTGGCCTACGCTTCTGAAGAATAAAGGAGGCAATGTATCATAGCTTGGCTGAGTTACATCCAAAAATCCCTTTGATTTTAGCTAAACCAATAACACAATTTTTTTCCCCCTGCTACTTTGCTCCTGTAGACAGCTCTTGCCTTGACAAAAGGAATTATAGTCTTAGAGACTGATATTTTAAAAAGGAGTGAGGCCCTTGACTGAATGACTTCTGAAATGTTCTGTTTTCAAAGACATTGTCCAAATCATTGGAAAATGAGAAATTGGTCCAGCTGGGGAAGGTTTCTTACACAAAGAAGTTTGACTCTTGAGGAATGCCTGTGGTGGTGATGTTTAAGTATAAACCTGAGCTCAACTACACAAGTTCTTAACTCAACTTCACAAGTTCCCCACAAGTTGGGGAGTCACATGCTTCATTAAGAATTGATAGCAAATCAAAACTTTTGCTTTTCTCTAAAAAAAGAAACAAACACTCACACTCTTCCAAAGGTGTTAATGGGAAGGTTGCAAGATCAAGCACTTAAAGGTTGAAAAACAACCTACATCAATTTAATTGGCTTCATTTAGTGAGGAGCTGCTGAAAGGAAAGGTTGCAAGGTGGGCTGCTTTAGCTCTCTAGGTTCAGCCATTTGCTTCTCCCTGAATGATGTTTGGCCTGATAAATGATGGGCAGAACTGCTAATATCCTGTTCTTCTCTTCCACATTCTCTCACAAACCCACCTCAGAAACTGCCAGTACCTCTGTTGGCTGATTCATCTGTATTACAGTCCTCTAACATACATAACTAGGCACTTTAAAAAAATGTTTGGGTTTTTTTTAATTACCTAAAGTAAATGAATGTAGAACTCATTAACTTTTAGAAAGAAAACTTCCTATTAATATAATAATAAGTGTTATTCAAGAAAAAAACATGCCATTATCTTACAAAATCTTATCACTGCTTGATTTAAGTAGTTATTTTGTGTTTTCTGTAGAAATAATGCTCAGCTGAAGAGTTCTCCTGATCCTCCAAAGCATCAAGTCCTGAAGCAAAGCCTGTCAGTCCGTGCTGGTTTCACATTGTTCACTCATAGCTCTGACACACTCCATGTGGAGTCAATTTTGATACAAGCCATATAGAATTTAAATACTGAGGTAACATCCAGTGCTGTCATTCCTCCCTGCAACTAAATGTCAGCAAGAAATAGAATCTAAAATTGGTCTGTAACTATGGCAACTAATGAGCCATTCTGACTTGGAGTCCCCAAATCCAACATGTGACCATCAAGGGATTCATTCCAGTTTGAAGATGCTGCTTCTCAGAGAAGAAAATCTGCTGCTGCTTGTGCCAACATTTGTGTGAGAGCCACCAGCCAGGCTGGAGAGCTGGAGCGGGCTCAGGCAAACAACTGGGAGAAAAGCAGCTTCTTTCTGAAACTGGAAGGAAGAACAGACACCACCTTCTGTGGATGCTAAACACTCTGGGTCAAGGTAAAACCCTGCAGAAAGCACAAACTGTCCAAGCTGACGATGATGTTCATAATCACAGCACAGGGGAACCAAGGGCAGGCTCTGTGATGAGAACTAATGGGTGCCTTGAGGCTTTGGATTTTAATTTCAATTTCAGTAGGCATTTGGGATCACACAGCTCCAAACTAAACTCCATTAATTCTGACAAGGGGAGGTCATTTCATCTGCCATGACCACATCCTCCTTCTCAGAAGCTGCTCTGAAAGAGTTGTTTAAGGAAGCTCTCCTAAACATACATTAAAAGATATGCCTATAGCTAAAAAGTTCTCTCTTTACCAGGGAGCAAGGTACTTATTCCCTTTCATATCTCTGCCAGGTGACCCTTTTTAGTGCAATGGGAGTCAAGTGAAGAGAGTTCTACCAGAAGGAGCTGAAGTCTCTACCAGGAGAGCAGATGAGGTGTCTCATGCACAGGTTTCTCCTAAATTTTTTTCTCCTAAATTTTAAGGAAATTAAGATTTAAAATCTTAAGGGGTCACTATTTCCTTCCATTACATTCCGAGGTTTATTTAGGTAGCATGTGTATGTTGTAGAAATGCACTACAGCCCAGATCAGAAGAAAGCATGTTAGGTGCTGGTCAATTCTTAAAAACAAACAAACAAACAAAACTGAGTTCTTACCAATTTTCTTTGAAGATGTAAAACCTAACAAAACACAAAATACCTTCACTAAAATATTTTGTCTACCCATGTAAACAGCACTTAGCATTGGTTTGAATATTGGCTTTCCTGGGTGGGTAAGAAAAAAGACATCATAAATTACAGCTTTTAACTGTGGGAAACACAAATGTTGTTGTCTTGTAAAATGAGCTACATTTCATACAGTGACAAAATAATTAACCCCTTTGAAACTTAGAACCTGTTAGCCAGTTTTCTATTCATAAGGAAAACATAGCTATGGGAATAAAGCTATAACTTGAGAAAAATAAGCAAAGAGAAGAAAAGCAAGAAAGAAATGGGATTGGGTACTTCTCTCATCCATCATGGATCATCACTGATCCATCTCGAGGCACAAGGTCACCACCATCAACTAAGATCTTGTAAGAAACATCCAGTGTGACATCCCAGGTGCATTCAGGAAAAGCTGACAGTAAATGTTAATGACAAACAGGTGTGCCATGGATGTGAGGAAAGACAAAGCTCCGGATGTTTCACACTTTCTCAAATTAATTTTTATCTAATTAATTCATCAGATCTGGGCCAGCTTAGCAGCAGTAGCAGAGAAAATTAATATCTTAGGGAACTACAAAAAAAAAATCTGTAAACCCTACTAGGAAGCATCATGTCTTCATTAGCTTACTGGTATTCCAATAATAAAAAAAAAAGCTAGAAAACTTGCAAAGAGCAAGCACCACGATGTTTCATGGGATCTGGAGAAACAGTTAAAGCAGTGAAGGGAAAGGAGAAAACCCAACAAATGAGCCACACACAGAATGCCCAGGGACTGCTGAGGGTACAAGAAACTGGTTTCAAGTGGTGCCTGCGTGGGTGTAGCAGAGGGAGTGAGCACAACGAACCCTTCTCACCGTTCCTTTTCCTCCCCTCGTCTTTTGCCGCTTTCTGCGGTGCCATCACTTTCTGCAGGGAGCTCCGGCCGGAGCTGGGCTTTCCCGACCCATTGCTGAGGATGGAGCCGTTCTGGCTCGGGGAGCGGCTGCAAGTAACCATAGCAACAAGGCAGGACGTGAGTTCTCCCTCCTCAACCTCGTTTCAAGGTTATTTCATTCGCGCGGTTTGCATCACTGAGTTTTCAGCTCTGATTTGGTACCAAAAGGAGACAGAATAGAAACAGCACACAGCAACACGGTAAAGGTAGGGGTGAGCACGACTTTCCCAATTAGTTCAGGGCTGATGGGCATCTTGGTGGCTTGGAATGCAACTGCTCCTCATGCATAAGCCCCACAATGATAAAAGCGGCACCACCGAGGACAAAAAGTCCCGTTGTCAATTCAGGGTCGTTAACCCAGACAAAATAAAGTAGACCTTTGTTTTAGGATGCATGGCTAAATCGATTCCTTTATTATTCAGCCTGCATTTACAGTCAGCTGTTGTCAGCCACAATGCAAAGTACACTCACTCACTTTGTACATAGGCACACACAATGTGATAAGAAATTTCTCCTTTTCTCCTTTTGGCACACACCCTGGTTTAACCAGCACCCTCATTGGCTTAAACCCCTAAGAAAATGCTTGTTTTAATCAGCAATTGCACATCCTTGTCCTGAAACTGCTCCCTGCCCAGGATGAGGAGGGAGGGCAGGGCAGAACTGCTGTGCATTCAGTCCCAGTGAGGAGCAGGGACAGAAATGAGCAGCAGGCTCTGGGCTGTGCTGGGAGTGAGCTCCCATCACAGCTCCTCTGCTTTTTGGGGTGGACAAGTCGCTCAAATCCTAACGCACAAGTTGGCAAAAGCAGGCCACCAGTAGATAAAAGCACATTTGGTGCTGGTCAGCACCCAGACACAGTCACTTTGGATTTCACATGTGCAACTGCCACAAAGGGAATGAAAACTCTCCACAGGACCTGTGTAGTTGTTCACAAATCTATCTGCAATCTACCACTGAGATGTCATGGGCAGTGACAGGGTGATGTAAAGAGGTTACATTAGAGGAAAAAAATGGGCCTAGGCACAGAGGCTTCCATTTACAGAGGAAAAGAATCAAATCAAATTCTATTGCTGTCACAATGGTTTTATAACCAGAAAATGGTACTAAAACAAAACAAATGTCAAAACCATCCTGTAAATCATTGCCAATACTGTATCATCAGCTTGAAACATTCATTTACCTCCAGGTCTGGCCACCCTGCCCGGTGTAAGTAAAAAGCATTTACTGTGGTCAGAAGAGCAAGGGACAAATATGAGAAAAGCAATTCTTGGGGATTCCCTTTTGAAGATAGCCTAAGTGGAAATATGTATAATTTGAGACAGGCTTTTTCCAGCTACAGGACTCTAGGAGAATTCAGCATGCAACCCCACTCAGTCCAGCCTGAGGGTTTCCTTTGGAAATTCTATTGAAAATAAAAATTCTTGAGAAGCAGGATTCCTCCCTATACACCTGTCTGTCACTGCTAAATGGATAATCCCAGCCCAGTAAAAAAGATCCATCCAGGGACAGACCAACACCTGAAGAAAATCTGCTCAACTTGGGAACACAGAAAAAAAGTGAGCATGGATAGCTTACACAATGATTTCTGTGGTTACACTAATCCAAATATTCATCCTTTTTAAGTGGTCCTCATATTATTAACTGAGAAGTTTCTGTCAGTGGTGATAGCAGAGATACTTTGATCAGTTACCAGCCACTTCATGGCTGTCTGGTTTGAATTGACCTTTCCAGGCTGTAAAGTACCCTGAATGAAAGAGCAAATACATAAAGGGCAAGAAATATTTCTTCATCTTCAACAACCATTAAATTCAATTTCCAGATACAGCTCCTGGGAATCAAAAATACTGAAATTCTACATGTTCTTACTTACTCAAGTAATCACCCTGAAGGAGGGAAAACTAACTCTTAGTTATTTGCTTAGAAGGGCACCAAGGTTCAGCACATTTTATAATGAGAATAACTTTCTTGGATCAAGTTTGCTTATCAGCATTTGTTTAAAATGGTGCAGATTAAGTGGGGGATTTCTGCACTCACTCAAAGGACTGAGTGAAGTGTTTAATCACTTTGGTTAGAGGATTAATTAACAGGGCTAGTTTACTTTTTTTTGTGTGTGAATTTACACATGGCTTTGGAGAGGCTTCAAAACATTTTAAAGCACAATTCCTGCAAAGACTTGACCTGCCCAGCACCAGCAACCACTGTGGGTGTCACGGTCATCTTCCAGTTGTCATTTCTTCAAAGGATGGAAGGCTTTGAAAAGGACAGGTGCTGTTTGGTCCACATAGACCTAACCCTCATATTGCAATAACTTGGAGCCTGAACAACACCTCACTGGCATTAAATGACAGAACAACAGTTTACATCCAATTGCAGCTGGCTCGCTCCTCTCTGCTGGTACACCCTACAGACAGCCCTTCTCACAATTCCAGGTGATTTACTGCACAGCCAAAGGAACAAGATAAACCAGGATCCTTCTGTCTGTTTTTCTGCAGGGAAACCTCAGCTGATGACCACTGGGGATTATCTACCCACCCCTGCTATCTCCCAGCCCCACACCATGCTGGCTGACACCTTCCCCTTTCAGCATGTTCCTGTCACAGTGTGCAGCAACACTTCACTGAGTATTCCAAGCTTTCCCACTATTCCAAAGGGGGAAATATTGGCCAAGATGAGGTGACTCAGCTAGGAAGGCTTGGTTTTCTCTAGAATTTCTCTGCATTAGTCAGTTGCTTTTCTTGTATGTTATCAAATCCCTTCAAGAGGCCAGGCCCGTGGAATGCCTGTGAGCCACACAACAACAGTTACCTCTATTCAGGCTGTTTGCCTAACAGGTTTGTTTTCCTCTCTTCCCTTCAGTATCCATCCTCAGCTCCAGTCTCATTTAATGCCAAGGAGAGTGGATCAAGGAAAAACTGGCTTCAAAGCATGCAAAACAGCTGGGATAAAGGGATAATCTGTTTTCCTTGCCTGCAAGGACCAAGACAAGGAATATTCAGCTATTCTGTTGATGGGTGAGGGCAGACATGAGGTAAAACTTCCTAACAGGAAAGGCAGGAGAGAACAGATTGCTGGAGGAGGTTGTGATCATCCCACCAGTGGAAGACTTTAAAATAAGGTAGATAAAGTTGAGTTAGGGGGGCGTTGGACCCTGCAGCAGAGAAGAAGAGCCATATAGCTCCCTGGGAATCTTGAATCCATGATCCTACAAGTCTAGAGAATTCATATGAAGACAGTGCAAACCTGGGACACTTCACCCTAGACACTGACATTATCTAGGCTATTCTTACACTTCTGAAGTTTTGTCCTGCTGTAGATGCTTTGGATCTAGAGGTCTTCCATAATTTAGTGGGCATTTGGGGTTTCCCCTTCTGCTGGTGAAGGCATTGGGTCCAATTTTGAAGTGGCAGAGCCTGCCAGTGGAGTGACAGCAATTTACAGTGGCTGAGGACCTGTCTTTTGGTTCCTTGAGAAATTACCAGTGCTCATGTTACATGTGTCATTTGGGCTCATCTCTATGGAGCACCTACATGCACACAAAAGCCCTTTCACCTCCTCGGTAACAGTGCACTTGGTTTTATCTCAAATTTTACAGCAACCTTACACACCCAGCACAGAGCAGTGTCATGCCAAGGATGCGTCATGGAGAGGAGCCACCTGCCACACACAGTGCCAAACCTCTCAGCAACCAGCAGCACATATCCTATTTAACTCCTGTGTGGAAAGGCACCAGCTGCCAGCCCATACCTTTTCCTTGTTTCATTGGATTTGGCAGTTTTGATGGTGCTCCCATCCTGAGTCGTCTCCCTCTCCTGGGAGGCAGGAGCATCTCTGACTGGAAGTGGAAGGATGACAGTCTCCTGAGTCACAGGTAAAACCTCGTCCTCTGCTCCCTGCTGGCCCAAGTGTTGCTTGGCATAGTCAAAGCCTTGTACTGGCTGCAAAAAAAAAAAAAAAAAAAACAGGGGAAATAAAAGAAATTTCCAGCATGTATTAGATTTAATATAAATTTTCAAATTCCATGTAAAATTTTTTACTACTCCTTAACTTTTTTAATTACATAAGTGACAGGTAAAAATACATAGATTACAATGTGAATACCCAACAGGAAACCAATTTTTTCATGAGATCTCTATTCCACACATTTTAAACATGAATAGTTAGTATAAAATTGACCTTGGCTAACCTTTCTTACCCTGCTGTAACACCCCCAGAAATTACTTTGACAGACAGTGGGAGAACAAGGATGTGGAAGAAAAAATTAGGAGTAAAAAAAATAAAAACCTACAGAAAACTTTCTCTGACAAAACCCTTGTGCTTCCAAAGAGGGTGGGAGTAATTTATTCTCAGTCAAGCCAAAGTAAAAAAGGCACACATCAGAAAGTTTCATGGGCAACATTTTCCAGAAAATAATCTTTTTCAGATCAGTGAAATTAGATTTCCCCTGGCTTGCCAGTTGCCTACTGGGAAGGATATTACTGACTTCACTTGTTTCTCTTGGGAAGTGGCATTTCACCAGAGCCTTGCAGCAAGGCAGTTCCTGCCCAGCAGAACTAACATATGCCTTCTGGGCAAAGCAGCCAAGGAAAGGTGGATTCTCTCAATGGAAAAATTAAACATTTAGACAAAACTTGACTTTCCAAACTTCATTTTCAGTTGGAAGGAAAAGAGAATGGGAAAAAAAAAAAAGAAAAAGAAAAAAACCCCAGCAACAACAACTAAACCAACCTGCATTATCTGTTGTGAAAAAAAAAAAAAATATGAAAAATAAATCACTCAAAGAAATTCATGACCACCTCTAGCAAATGTGTTCTTGTTACACTAATAAAAACTAACTTACCAAAAATGGGAAGGTTGGTCTTCCTGAATTAAAAAGAGTATTGACAAAATGCTAAGAAAGGACCACAAAACACTTCAAAGCTGAGAAAGTGGAGGTTTTAAACCTCACACATACTTTGGAATTAGTTCATGACTGATTACTCCAAGTTCTTGTCATGTCATCATTGAATATTGTAGTTCCAAAAGAAAATCAGCATGAGAAAAAAATTGTTATTGGCACAGAAAAAGGACAAGCACTGAAAAGCATTTTCTCTTGTTGTGTCCCTTACTAAATCTGGGCTGCAGCTCTAAATTCTGATACATTTTGCAGGTGATCTCAGTCTGAAAAGAATGGGGCTGTTTTTCACTTTTTGAAACATAAAAAATGCTTTGTCTTTGTATGGACCTGCATGGCATTCCCAAACTCCTGCTCAGACTGAGGGTAATGGTTCCTAATGTGATCCCATCCTTCAGCATTCCTCTGATAAGAAGCTTCAGCGCATTAAGGAGCGGGCTAATGCTGATAAGGGAGAGCAGACAACTCCACAAATCACCCCCATGGAACTTGCAATATATCAGAGAAATGCTAATTCACCATCACCCCTCCATGGCAAGCAGGGTATCACAAAACAGCCACCAGCAAATGAAGGAAGGGAAGCAGAAGCTGTGTGAAGGACAGTTAGGAAGAAATTCTGCACAACATCCTACATAATAATAATATTGTTAATTAAAATATTGCTTTTCAACCTAATTATAAATATTAAGTGCCAGTTAAGACACCCCTAGATATTCTGAAAAAAAGGTAACAAGAGAGAAGAGGTGATTAAATCAGTTATTTCTCCCTCCATGCCTCTGAAAGAGTCAAATAATTTCAACTTCATCTCTTAGTAAAAAAAAACCAAAAAAACCAAAAAAAAAAAAACAAAAAACCCCACCTCTCCAAACAAAAAACCAAACCAAACCAGAAACTGTGGGACATGAGAATTACTAAAGAATTCTGCAGTGTCCCAGCTCAGATCTGCCACAGGAAGAAAATGAAGGATTATTTTAATCATCAGAGTTCTACTTACCACCATGTCCAGTAACAAACTGCAATAAAAGGAGAGCTGAGAAAGTCATCCTCATCAGCAGACATATTGCATTAAATAAAATTTGTTCTTGGATCCCTGCTCTGTAAAAGCCCACAGGAGCAGATGGTTCTGCCACCCCTGGAGGGAACTGGCAAGGCTAAATCACGACCAGGCAAAGCTGAAGCACTGCAAATGTAGATGTCCAATACATCCAAAGTACTGACAAGGACTGAAGGACTGAGATTCTAATATTGCTTTTGAAATAATAAATGGATAGAGAGAGACCACTAGATTACACTGCCTGGCAAAGGGCAGACTGAATACAGTTGTTTCTGGGACTCTTTTTCCTTGTAATGATTGTGAAAAAGACACTAAAGATGTTTAAAAAAATATGTCAAAAAAGGGAAGGAAAGGAGGAAGGAAGGAAGTGAGGGAGGGAGAGAAAGAGAGAGAAAGAAAGAGAGGGAGGAGGGAAGAAGGAAGAGAGAAAGAAAAGAAAGAAAGAGAGAGGAAGGAGAGGAGGGAAGGGAAGGGAAGGGAAGGGAAGGGAAGGGAAGGGAAGGGAAGGGAAGGGAAGGGAAGGGAAGGGAAGGGAAGGGAAGGGAAGGAAGGGAAGGGAAGGGAAGGGAAGGGAAGGGAAGGGAAGGGAAGGGAAGGGAAGGGAAGGGAAGGGAAGGGAAGGGAAGAGAAGAGAAGAGAAGAGAAGAGAAGAGAAGAGAAGAGAAGAGAAGAGAAGAGAAGAGAAGAGAAGAGAAGAGAAGAGAAGAGAAGAGAAGAAGAGAAGAGAAGAGAAGAGAAGAGAAGAGAAGAGAAGAGAAGAGAAGAGAAGAGAAGAGAAGAGAAGAGAAGAGAAGAGGAAGAGAAGAGAAGAGAAGAGAAGAGAAGAGAAGAGAAGAGAAGAGAAGAGAAGAGAATCAGCCCCTTCCCTCTATTGGTATACCGAGGTACAATCTGACTGACTTTTTTTTCTGTGCCCTTTATCAAACTGATAAGGCTTGTTTTCCCACGGCATGCAGCACTTGCTTGTGCTTGTGGGTCTTAGACTACAGACCTTATCTCACTTTACCTGCAAACTTATTCTTTCATGGTCTAAAAAAAAATGAGGGGACAAATGAGATGCTAGACTTTAAAAAAGCATGCTGTGAATTAGAAAGCAAGGAAGGGAAAAGTTAACATTCATCCAGAACCGCAAAGTAAAAACAGTTGCTTAAGATAAAAACAGCATTGAAACAAAGACATTAAAATAAAATCCCATCAGAATTTCACCAATTTGAATTTATACTTCTTTCATCTTACAGCTAGAAAGAAAATTGGAAAAAATGGTATTTTTCAATCTTCCTTTTCCCTGCAACTGCATCCAGATGTCCCTGACTGCTGAGGCAATTCAGAACAGCACCACAATTCCCAGGAGAGCTCCTACAAACTACGCTGCGTACGAGAGGTCATTCTGCAAATTTCATTTCAGTCTGCCACAACACAGAAGTCACGCCTTCACTCCCAGGCTCCGGCAGCAGCCCCGCTGCTCTGCTCCGTGCCCTGATCCCCTCCCGTTGCCGCACACGGGTATTTGACGGTAAATGTGTCGTTACCCTGGGCGCTGTCCCGCCGCAGGATGCGGGGATGTGGCAGCTGCGCTCCGGCAGGACCTGCAGCCTCCATCCCTCCCTCCATCCCTCCCTCCCGCAGGACTGCAGCACCGAGCAGCTCTGCCCTGCCGGTCCCCTTGGAGCAGGGCTGCTGGAGCCAGCACACGCACCTGGCATCCCAGCAGGCAGGTGGCACATCGGATCCTCCTCTGCTCCCTACGCGGCTTGCTGGCTGCTCAAAAGGGGTCACAAAAGTGCTCCGGTGATTCTACAGCCCATCTCGGATGCACGGAGGCAAAATACCAAAACGGCTGCTTAAACTACAAATCACTCCACTGTGACTCCACTTCGAGCAGAGTCAGCATTAATCAGCAGTCTCGGGCACTTTCCTCAGCCATGAAATACAACAGACTCATTTTAAATGTGACACGGATATGTGCTCATTTGTACTCCCAAACTGCATGAAATATGGCAATTACAGTTCAAGCAATTACCACTAGACCTAACACTGGAATTAGAAAAAAACCTCTTCTTTTCAAAATTACCTTCTTTCCTTATCTTCTCAAAATATGTTTCTTAGCCTTATTTTAATTAAAGATGCTGAAATCAGGAATGACCAAACCAGTCCATTCCCAGTCCCACTGCAGGATTTATCTTCCACAGTCCATATAGCAGCATAAACTTGAAACTAGACCTGGCAGAACCTTTCTGATGGAGCCATCATTGTGAAACTAAATGGAAAGCAATTTAGCTTTCATTTAGAAATGCACCACTTTTCAGATAATTAATTAAATTAAATTTTATGGAGTCTCAAAATAAACCGGAAAGGGGAAATGCACTCTGGAAGGGGACCTTCTGCATGCCAGCTGCAATGAGAACAAACCTGCAGGAAAAGCTGGAAAACAAACCTGCAGGAAAAAGGGCTGTGGTGTGGGTGCTGGGAGCTCAGCACCAATTGTTTCATTCCAGCAATTGCAGATCCAGCTCCCATCTGATGCATTGAAGGCTGATGCAAATGTAACCTGGCTGAACAGGCTTTAACCTGAGTGCATATCTTACAGCCTGATTAAATCTGATTTCTCAGGAACAGTAAAAATCCAATTTTGTATTTCTTTTTGGAATGAAAACAATGGATTAAAATATGAAAATACTTTCAAGTTTTTCCTGTGCTATAATTTCAACCAGCAGTAGGTTGTTTTGATTTTTTTTTTACATAGCAACTTTCTTCAGCTGGTAAGCATCCCATACTGATGGGCAGTTCAAAACAATGTACAAGGTTTAGCTCATTTTTTTTTCCTTTAGCTGGGACCAAGATTACACATAAAAGCAATCAAATGGTGCATAGCATTGGCAACAACCCCTAATAAAGCATAATTTGCATTTTTAGGGGCTTCAATGGGGCATCAAATAGCACTGCAGTGATATTAATTCCTGTCTGTGTTTGTGATATTGTATGTTGCACTTTTGCAGATCTAGTCTTAACACTGGATGGATAATAGTGGATAAATAGATGAGCACACTGGAACCAAAATGGAAATGTCTTTTCTGAATCATTTTTGATACAAATGTCTGGTTTCCAACTGGCACCAGCTGCACCCATCTGCAACGAACCTAAGATAAGGAGAAAAGAGCTGTCAAATGCCTCATGCCTTCCTTCAACTCTTCTTTCAATCTACATTTTTCAGCAGAAGCAACAGAGCTGAAATCTCAATAATCCTGCTGTCTGTAGCATTAAGAAACCAAGGAAAAAATTCATCATCTCAATCCCATGCCAGCAGAGAAGAACAAAGCCAGCTAAAAGGGCAAAGGAACAGCCTGATTTACATACAGCCTCCATAGGCTAAAAACTCCTATCTTTGGGTGGACCTGATCAAGAGCCATTGAATAGCAACATTAGAGGGCAGACTTTTTCACTATGGAGATAAAACAGTATTGTGTGACTTTTTTTTTCCTGTCAGAGGATCAAACTGGAAGTGCATTTGATTTGGGAAAAAAAATATTGTAATTTATATGGATTAGTAACTTTAAGAAAGTCATAATTGCTTGAACCTGACCAGCAATATACATATATTATAAAGTCCAAAACACCTAAAAGAAAAATAGCAGTAGGAGAAAAAAAAAAAAATCAAAGAATGTCTATTCTGGATTTTATAGAGTCCCAAAATAAACCGGAAAGGGGAAATGTACTCTGGAAGGGAACCTTCTAGCAATGTGGGAGGAGAACTTTGGTTAGGGCCAGGTCTGAACTACTACCAAACTTCAGACATTCCTCCCTTCAGCAGGCAGGAACAGGTCAGGTCACGGGGTTTGAGGTCCTACAGGAGATGTGCCAATCCAAGCTGTGAGTACCAATCCTTTCAGTTCCAGACATTCTTCAACTGCATCTATCCAAGAGCCACAACCTCAGCAGGCAAATGGACCTTTGGATCTGGGGCTGGGTCACTGACCTTGGCTCTCTGAGGCAAGTTCATCATGGTGTCTGGCTTGAAGTCGTTCTTGTTCTTCCTGCACAGCACCGCGGTGATGATGATGATGATGACGGTGACCACCGCGATGGGAGCCAGCACGGCTGCAATGATCCACAGGTTGTTTGGGGGGTTCTTCACCACAGCTGCAGAAAAAGGCAAACCAGCAGTGGTGAGCTTCACTGGGCAAGGCTCCTGCTGCTTCCAGCCTTCAATTGCCTCCATGTAGAAATTAGTATAAAAAGTATTGTTAAGTAATCTAGCTTTCTGTACAAGGGAATACTTCTTGTATTACTTAAGTAGGAATAAAAAGGGGAAAATCAGCAACACTTTTTGTTGAATTTGAATTTTATTTGATTTGTTGAATTCACAGACTCCTGGGCTCTCTTTTCTTAGTTTTATGTTACCTGGTTATATGCAAAAGCAGACGTCCACTCCAAAGTCAGGAGAGATACCATATGAGATATCACTCCAATGGTTCATTCACACAATAAACAAACAAATAAAAGGTGCAAATAATGCATCCTCAACTATTTTTCAAACACAAGCCCAGCTTACAGCAAAGTAGCATATCATGTGTGTTAAAAGAACACACATGGAGTCCATACATGGTGTCAAAGACTGACTGGCTCAGCAGGAGCAAACTGGCAGAGCTTTTTAAAAAACAATGAAACTAGCTGGAATAGTTACTATCAATATCAATAAGGCAATAAGAAGATGCTTCTCTTGTGCTCTAGAGATAATTTATCATAGTTAAGGTCAAAAAGAATTCATTATTTATGAAGGAGTAGAAATAATGAGGCTGAAAAGAGCTACTTGCAGATATATTAATGATGGCACCAGGAAAAGGGTACATTTCAGAAATGCAGCAATGCAAAAACATTTTATACTCCATTTCATCAGAATAATCTCTCTTAGTTATGAACCTTCAACTTGTTCACACATACAAGGTCCTCCTGTGACACATTCCCAGTTCTCTCATTTCATTTCTTTCTGGAAAAATGATCAGACAACCTCTTTATAGTGCTGAACTTAGTTGTAGTGAAATATTTAGTGGACTTCCCCATGCTATCCCTGTTTATTTTGCTGTGGCACTGGTTGCTGGCGTGGGCAGGCAATTGTGAGAACACCAGCACAAAGCAGCCATTCCCCTTTCCTGGGGGACTGGCGCTTTCAAATGTCATTGAGCTTATGAGCTGTCAGAGGCACTCAGCATCTCTCAGGATCAGACTTAAATGCAAACCAGGTTCTTCTGCAGCAGGCATTGGGAACTTTATAGTTCTCCAGCTGAAAGCCTGGCTGGAGCCTGAGCCTGTTCTCTTTGTAGATTTGCAGCGTTTTGCAAAGCTGGTGAAGTTTGTTGGGTGATGTAGAAACCCCATTAGGCTCAGAGCTTGAGCATAAGACTGCAAAAAGGCCAGGTTGGAGACTTTCACTTTTCAACAGACTTGCAGAATTCTTAGTTATTGACTTTGACATTTAGTTTGGGGATGAAAGGGCTTTGGGGAAGGAAACGGAATCTGAATTTTAACAAATAACAGAAACTTTAATTATAGACTGCTGCTGTGGAAGCAGCAAACAATGGTTGAAAAATTATATTTATGCCTTCTAAGGGATGCAGAGGAAATGATGACCTTATGGCTAATAGCATAGACATTTAGAAGTCCTAATTTACATCTTTAATTCAGTTACCAGACTCCAATGTGACCTAAAGTCAACCCATGGTTCATTCAACTCAGTAAGACTTCAGTGGAATTTGAAACAAGCCTTTCATTCTGTTGTAACTCAGTCTCTGGCTCATAACACAGGAACATCCATTTTTTTGTGTTATTATTTGTCTGTCTCATCTAACGCAGCTCTGAGCTCCCGAGGGTACACGTCTTTTCTCACAGTATTTTGGGACAGAATTTTCATTCTGCTAGAACAGAAATTATAATGAGCAAAAATGAAATCCACACAAAGTATTTTCTGTGGCGATACAGACTACAAATAACCATGCCCAAAAGGAAAGAAATGGTTTTTTTTTCCATAATAAGGTATAAAGATGGAATTGCTTCCTACATTTCAAATACTCTACCTTCAGAATCTCAGGTACCTCAGGTCACAATTTCAGTTCCTGTCTTTTCTATTTTTACAGTGTTCTGTGCATATGTGGCTGGTATGAAAATCTACAGATGAATGAGGCTGCCTCATCAGACCATGGAAATACAAAGTTAGATGATGAGCAGTAGCTTCCATAATTGCCTAAATACCCACATAAATATAAATCACATCATTGCACAAAGAGCCAGGAAACTGCTATATCTATATCTTCTATAGTAAAAAAATACATTAAAGAAATATTCTCATGGAAAACAAAATTACTTGGAATTTAAATGCTGGAATTTATGGAATGGAGATCCTTGGGTTCAGCTGAATTAAAGCCAGAAGCAGACCATGATCAAATCAAGGCTCAGATACAGTACATGGTGCATTCTCTGGAAATTGTACCATATTTCAGTCTTCTTACTCAATCCTATGTTTATGGATGATACACAAACTACTTATTATAGTGGTCTCTTCTTTTCCTGTCACCATTTTACGTAATTATTTCAGTACCACCACTCCTCCAGGCAGATATAATTGCACCATGGACAATTTTATGTGCTCTTTCACCAGTAAGGAGATCCAGTGCAGGAGTCCACTACATAATTTTGATTCCTTCTAAAGAAATACTTTGGCAAGTTGGAGAAGTCCAGTTAGCAAAAGGCATGGGTTTGTACACTGCATGAAGCATAATTATACATTATCTTAACTGCTTGAAAAAACACTCCAGGCTTCACCATAGGTTTATGACTATGGGCCAAGTATACAGGAATATCTAAAAAAAAACATTTAAAGAAACCTGTGTTCACAATCACTCAGTAACTGATGAAGGTCTTGAAAGAGAAATTTGAAAACATTTTACTTTTCAAGAATGGAGTATTTTTGGCCACGTTATTCTGAATGATACTATCATATCTTGAATCTGAAAACTGCCCATGTGCACAAGTAGCTCTTTTCAACTTCAGTTTTCTGATTTGTGTCTGAATAATATCTTTAACAACTATGTAGTTTTCTTGGTGAAAATTGTTATTTAAAAAATAATAATCCCTTTGAGATAGAAAGAATCGATACTATTTTGATGAAGTCAAAAATAAGGGACATCTTAACAGCCACAACATTTTATGTTTTTTGGCCAAGTTATATGAACAACAACTTTGCCCCAGTCATCATTAGTGTGTGGTGTCATGGTTTTGTCAGCATCAGAATTAATTGTGACTTTCCATAGTGTTCAGATCATGGAATAAAGCAATGGTTAAGTATGGAATTTTTGAAAGGACTCTTACGATCAGCTTGAACTTGGATGACATAGCCCAGGGTCAAGGCCATCCTCTGCGAGTCAACTGTACTGAGAATTTTGGCAGCTGCAGTGCCCAGCAAAGGCTTCCCATTGTATAAAGTGTAATATGTCAGTTCAGCTGGCTCCTTGGGTCCTGGAATACGTTGAATTTTGACCATCTTTAAGGGAAACAAAATAAATAAATGAATAAATGAGGAGAGGAAGAGAAATAAACTGTGTTTGTGTAATACCACTTCAAAACTTGCCAGGAGCTATTTGGAGGCAGTGTCCACAGGGAGCTCCCTCAAGACCACCTACAAGCATAAGCTCCATGCAAATATCCTCATAGAAACAGAGCTTCTCCCCTTCAGAGCCCAGGCTATTAAATAAGTCAATCAGAAAAATAACTAAAATTCTTCTTGAAAAAAAAATTAAACATAATCCTAAAGTAAAACCCTACACTAAGAAAAGCATGCAGCAAAGAGGAAGGATCAAATTTTTAGATATTACAGTCCTCTGTAAAGGGGAAATTCTTATAATCTGTTCTAATACTGAAAACTCTACTTTGCTGGCATATTGCAGTTGAAAAACAGCCTCCCATTTTCCTTCCATACTTATTATTTTTTTGTCCCAGGTTGATAACAAAGGAATCATGCTTTTCCCATTTTATTCTGTAGAATACTGGCAGAATTTTTCCATTGTATCTCTACCTTTCCTGAGAGTGGAGAAAATGTCAAATATTTCTAATGATGAGAAGAAAAAGGAGTTTTATGATTCTTCTCCATTATGTTATGGACTAAAATTTTACAAAGGTTCTCACTTTTGGCAAGTAAAATGTGTTCCTTCTTTTAAATCTTTCCAGTGGAACAATATAAAGAATTGTGTGAGCAAATGGGAAATGCAATTACTTAGGTTTATACCTTACAATAAACAATTCCTGAAAAACAATTTAATTACTTTTTAAAATAACTAATTTTTGAAGATTGAAGAAGAAATCTTTTAATTGCCCACAGGATAATTTGGCTTAATTGCTGAGAAAACAAAACATGATCAGTTCAAAATACTGAATGAAAAATGCTGTAAATAAGAGAAAGATGATTAATAAATTACTCAGGTCTCAAGTCTTCATAACATGATCTGGGGCCACATGATTTGATGACTAACCCTGTATAAATAAAGGCTGCTTTGTACATTTTTTTTTCCAACAAAAAGAGGAAAAAAAAGAACTTCTGGCTTTGAGTTACCTAGGAAACTTTTATCAAGAAGAAAAAATTTGGAACTCTTCATTATGCTGAATATGCTAAAATATGTACTTTGTACCAATCCTCATAGCAACCAGAGAGAAAATATTTATGAACACTGATTAACTAATGATGATTTCTCGAGGATGACAGGCATGCCAACATGGCTGGCTGCAAAAAAAGGCACCATCAGCAGTGCCAGGCATTCTGCCCTCGCTGCTTTGATACCCATGAGAAATACAGGAAATCTCAGCCTAGAAATTCAGCTAGGCATGTCTTTTACAGGAACTGAAGCAGGACAGATGCAAGCCAAGGACTTTTTTTCACACACTGAGCACCTGCACAGTGTAGCTGCCCACGGTGGTGGCACGTCTGAAGCGCCTTCCCTGCTGGTGGGACATCATGAACAGCGGGGCCAAGCGCTGCTCCATCAGCCTGGCAAAGCTCTGGTTGTTCAGCCCCAGCAAAGCAATATCCACCCCTTGGATCACTGTGGGAACATAGAAAAAACACAGATCAGCACTTCATGCACCCGCAGGTGAAGTAACACATGGTTTGTGGGACAGTTTGGGACAGGGAGGTGCAGACTAACTTGGAAATTAAACACCTGGACACTGTTATCCCCTCTCAGCAATTCCCTGTGAGGATATAACACACTTCTTTTTCAGTCCCTGCACAGCTTATCTCAGAGAATATCAGTCATGCTTCATAAAATCTCAAAATACCATTTCTAGGCCTTCAGTTTACTACTCTGTGATCTTCAATGTAAAAATTAGGTTCAAGCCTATTTGAGAGCTGCTGGGTTTATGCTTATTTCCAGATGCTCCTGTTAACCAGTTTCTATCCTGAAGATTTGAGGTCTGAAGTTTGGATTGTGTACAGTCTCAAACAAAATATCCTGTCTGAGAGCACTGAAACCTGAATAAACATTTCTGAAGTATAAATGAGGGCATCTGAAGTATAAATCAATGCAAGATTTAAAAGACACTCGATTCTAAAGTTCAAAAAAAGTGATATGACATGCAGATTCAATTCATACATATGTATGGGGTTTTTAGCATTATTTCAAAAAAGTCTTCTGAGACCAACAGGATCTTTTTGAAAACAGAGTTTCCATTGTAATATCAATAATAATCCATCACAGCAAGTGTACACAGGCAAGAAATGGAGTATCAGGTTCACAGGGTCCATACTGGGAAGCGCTGCACCACTCCCTTCAGAAGATTATCATCTCTGCATAAACTTATGTTTTATTTCAAATTTATGAAAAGATGGAACCGGTACCAAGTCTATTTCATGTCAGAGCCCTTTGCTCTTGCTCTCCTGAGCCTTAAACAATTCCAGGTACAGACACACCAACTAGAAAGGCTTTGGTATCACTCAAAGATGTCTGAGGGAAAGGGTCTCTTTCTTGCCCAATTATCATTTCTGAAGTCAAAATGATTGTGCGTGAGAAGGTGGCACCTGTGAAATGACTTGATAAAAGAAGTGTTTTGAAGCCTAAGAGCTTCAAGTGAAAGATGCAAAAAATCCCTGCACCCAGATAGTCAGCAAATCATAACAAAGTTCCTTGGTGTTACAGCCTCACCTCTGCTGCTAGGTTATGAATATGTGCCTCTTTTGATTTCAGATTTAAATCCATGTCCCAGGGTATAATAAATAAATAAATAAATAAATAAATAAATAAATAAATAAATAAATGGTCTGTTTGTGTCTCAAAACTCTCAGAACATAGTGCTGCTCCCAGAATTGTTTCAACCAAAGTGCTATAAATCCTGAGGTGGGTGTTGCTTGCTGGAGATGTCACTGTTGAAGATGATCTATCACTTATGCCACAGAGTGACTGTAAGTGCATTTGCCCAGCTGAAGGCAGGTTCAGTGGGCAGCCACTTATTCTGTGTAAAATTACTGCACTTCTGTGTTGATATAAATGAGCACTACAAATTATTACCTGGAGTGCCTGGAGGAGGGAAGGACATTAGAAAGTACCTGTTATCACCCAGTAGTCTCTAGTTGATTCCGAGACATCAAGGTTTGGATACTCCAAAGCTTTAAAAACAGAAGATGAAATTATGTCATAATATTCCAACATCATACACATTATGCATCCCAAAACTGGCTACCCTGACAACAATAAATAAAATTGAACTATGGCCTAAGAGGAGATCTAGAACATAATTTTCAGGATTACAATTTCTTTTCTGTCTGAGAAAGAACACCAAGTGTAAACAGAAGAAGCACTGCCATACAAAGTAGAACATATATCTCCTGTTGCCAAAATACTGGCTGGGACAGAGTCTGGGATGAAGCCCAGGAACCAAGAAGGATAGGTAATAGGTGTTGTATTCATCTCTGCTGCTTTCTCCCCTGCAGAAAACCAGATGAGATTCCATGATGATTCTGTGATTAATCCTTATGTAGCCCAGAATATAGTTTCAGCCTAAAATAACATGAAAATATACCAGGATCAGACTCCACACTGACTGCAAACAAGACTAACAAAACTGTGAGCACACCTTGGAGTGTGGTGCTCCCTCACTGTGCACCACTTAAGGCATTACTACCATATGTGTCTGCATCTGTGAGAAACTGATATTTGCTGTTGTGATGCCTTTTGTTAGCTCCTCCATCTCCAAAGTGCACTAGGCTGTAAAGCTCAATATGCTGCTAATTCATTCCACAGCTCAGCGTTTGTTCAATTGATGAATACCAGGAACTTAATTCAGAAAACATCCATGCTCTGCACATTGATAGGTTGCTACTGAGTCACCTTGATTTTTAAACCCCAAAGTGGCTCAGAATAGTAAACATTGTAAAGGATTTGATTACACACAGTAGCTGCTTTTGAGGAGGATTTCACAGCATGCCCTGAGCTGTGCATTTCCAGGACAGACTGCAAAGGCTCTGGAGGAGCCGCTGGAGCCTACTGGGAAATAACATGCTCAGAGAACAACCTCAATATTTGTTTGATAAACTGAGACAACTACACTGCCACATGAATAAGCATCAAACACTCTTCAAAGGAAACATTTTCCAGACACACTCTCAGTCTGGAGCCGTAAACACTGCGCGTGCATTAAGTTCATGAGTTTGCAGTACAGCTGCTGCACTGGGAATAAAACCAAGAGCTCCAAAATGAAATATAAGCCATTAGTTGTTAAAGAAACACTAGCTAAAGACTTTATCAGGTCTGTTCATCATGTGTGGGGATCAGCAGACAACTGCAGTACCACACAAGACTTGCTGTGTGACGAATGGCTTGCACAGCTCCGGACCACCAAGCATGTGCTTGTATTGCCTTTGTGAGAAGCACCACAATCCCCCTCCTATGCAACAGGCCTATTCTGGAGGCCAAACACTTGAACTGAGCACAGCCAGCACCAAAACTTCCTCCAGCTGTCTCCTTGAGCTCCTGGATGGCCCATAAAGACACATCCTGAACACCAGCCATCAAAAAGGAGCCTGTCTATTGAGGAATGGGGGACATCCCTTCTAGGTCCATGACCACACCCTCTACCAACAGCCTCCCTCCCTCTGCCTCCCCTTGCCTGTGGAAAGACTTTATGAAAACACAAGCCCACTGTTGGAACTCTGGATGCTGAGAATTTCAGACTTTCTGTGCTGACAGACTCTGACCCTCAGAGAGCACTGTATTTGACCTGAGGCTGTGGAGAAGGTTTCCAAAATGGAATGACAGAACTGGGATTATGGGTGTGTAGATTGATTGGAAGCATGTAATATCATGTGGTGAAAAACTTAGAGTTTAAGGTTTTAGAAGATGGTATGTGTCTCTTACCCCCTGATGCAAACTCAGATTCAAAAGTGTACCAACACAGTGCAAGAACTTATAGGGCAGTTTCACCTATTTGTTTGCAAACATTGTAATATGATAGGTAATGCCCCAAGAAGGACATACAAACCTCCTTTCCCACCTAAGTTAGCTGTGATTCCTCACTGCCTCACAGCAGAGAGAAACCACTTATCCCACAGAAAGCTCATCCTGCAAGTCACTGGTGAACTGCACCATGTAATTTCTCAGCTGTTGGGCTGTTTGCAAACAAAATGGACTGACAAAAAAAGAAAAAGTAATTTGTGTTTTCCTCAGTGCTCACTTTCCAACAGTCTGCTTCTGCATGTACCCAGCATGTCTCTTCTCACTCCCAGCAAACAGAGAACTCCAGTCTGCAGCAAGGTTAATTTCACACATCACATTAACAAGCAGATTAAACAGAAATCCCCATAATCAAGTGTCTTGTCCCTTTAATCATTTTAAAGAAATCAGCAGGCAGTCAGAGAGCACATGCACCACACAGGCTGCCCACACAATTGTCTCCAGCTCTTTGTACCTCAGAGCCTTCATAGCAACTGGAACTCAAGAAAACCATTGATGCCAAAGTGCTCAGACCACGTGCAAACTGAGGATGCAGTTCTCAGCAAATGCACCAAGAGCTTTTTAAAGTAGAAGCACAGGTGGAGCTCATCCCACTACCAAAACAGACAGTCCCAGCCAGATCCCAGCCCAGCCCCTGGAGCAACCACCAGGGCTGAGGATTCTCCTGAAGCAAAGGGCTTTGCTGAAGCTAAAGCTCAATCAGTGCTGTGCTAAGCACTCCTGAAATGAAGGCTTTGGGACCTTTTGTGCTTTGCTTTTCACAAACCTGCAATTTTATTTTGTTTGTAACCTCGCACAGGAATTTGTTTTGTTAATGACAGAGTATATATGTTTTTTCCTTAGTTTTTTGCCAGTGTTGCTAGCAGCCAAAATAAACACTGAACCCAAGGGAAAAAAAAAATCTAATTCTCCCCGCCCCCCCCCCCCCCCCCCCCCCGCTTTTTTTTGTAACAAAATACAGTTTAAAAAGTTAGCAGGAAAGCTGCCTACAATCCCTGAGCTTGACAACAAGGCCAAATTCTGGTGCTGGCTAATCTTGATGGTGGGAAGCACATACTTACATTCAGCAATGGTGAGAGGTGGGTAGGTGAGGTAGAAACCCACCAGCTCAGCTGACAGCTGATTAAGAAGGTTGCTGGAAATAGTGCCATTTAGAGTTGTGCTTTGATTTTTCACTACATAAAACAGAGTGACAGCTTGGGAGACATTGGAGGTGTTCAAAATCTGAAACAGAGGCAAAAAATAATGTGTTGCTGTGGTTCAGCTCATTACAAAAAAAAAAAAAAAACAAACATTGCCACCAAGGCAATGCAAAGAAACTGGGGAAATGTTAACCTGAAGAATGGATTAGCTACATCTCATCCAACTTTACCTGTGTGATACTTTAATCCCTGCTTTAGCACTTGAAGGGTTCCTGGAGGACAGCAGCAGGCAGAAAAGGTGCAACCAGGACTGAAAATGTTTTCCTGTGTTTTTACCAGGGAATGTGGGATGAGGGAGAGGATGCTTATCAGAAAAACCATCCAGTGCTTGATGCAGACAAATTGTGCTGTTTATCTTGCTGTCTTTCCTGCCTTCCTACTGCTGGTTTATAGACCCACACATTTTCCATATGAAATTAAGGGATATCATGTCTTTGTGTTCCTAATATCATATGAATCTCTGTACTCTTCCCCACTCTAGCTCAGTGCCAGTCTCCTGCTGAGCCCAAATCTGATTACTACATTTTGAGGACCAATTCTATTCAGCAAGTACTGGATAAGATTCTCAAACATCAGGAACAAAACCCACATCTTTTCTTGAAAAACTTATGCCCAACAGCAAGAGGGATGGGGTTATTTGGCTACTGATAGGTAGGCCTGACAGCATTCATGAATGTTATTTAAATACCCCATTTTTATGGTTTGGATCACCAAGTTAAAAGAAAAACCATGATACAAAAAAGAAGCATCAGAAGAGCCCAAGGTCAGACCAAAAGTCTGCCTAGCCAATGTCAACCTACAAATGGCTGGAGCAGAGGGTTGGAGAATTAGCACAGGACAAGAGGAATAAATGGCTCTCAACAGTGTAAGATTATCCCACAGCTGTGTCAGAGCCATAAATCATATGCCTGGGTTTAAAAAGGGTTGATAACTTTTTATTCTATATCTTTGGCCAAATGTTTTTTGTAATTTCCATATTTTTTTCTCCAGTTACATCTGGACATCTTTATACACAGTGTGTGAAAGGATGCTTCTTTTTATTTAAATTTGAGTAGTTCTGTTATGGGAAACTCCAAGTGGCAACTCCTGATTCCCTACTGGCTGGAGAGCCATGGCCACTTTCATTTCTCCTTTCATGGAAGATGCTTCATGCCTTTTACCCACCTTCCCTCTACTCTCCTAGGGCAGCAATACCTTTTCTGAACTGGCTCTGTCTGCTCCAGAACTGTTCCCTAGTTTTCAATTAATCTAAAACTCTCATGCAGTGTTTTGTTGCATGGACTTAGTCTTTTGCATGATACTGGAATAACTTAAAAAAAATTTATCATGAAGATCACTCACACCCTCGAGCCTCTTACTTCCCAGCCTATATGTTGCCACCAGGACTTCATCCTATCTCTCCTAAATTGGCAATATCCACAAAAACAGCCACCACCTTCTCCTAGGACTCTTTCCAAAATTGCTTAGGTGCTTTGTGAGATCTGCCACTTCCACCACAAGCAAATCAAGCACCATGAAGTTCACCTCAATGCCACAGGTCCAGCTGTTGAAAAACTTGATAATCCCTGTACCTATTGTGGTAGGCCCTCTCTTGCCCTGTGCTTTGCTGCCTCTCTGAGCTCCACCACTTTGAGCTCAAGCTCACAAGAAATAGCACCAAAATAATTAGCAGAGCGCTGATGGCAAAATTTTCTCCTTCTGAGGAGCAAAATCCATACACAGAGATTTATCAAAAATCAAAAACATATCATAATATTGCCCAGAAAATAATTTCTCTAGTCCTGAAGTGTGGCACAGAATGTAAGAGTGCTGGCCCACTATACATATAAAGGTGTGTAAAAATTTGTGGTGAATTTGTGCTCCGTGAGTATGAAACTGAAATGCATACCAAGAGAAAGAAATCTATTCCATTATTTCAGATCTCAAAAACAACTGTGCCTTTATACCTGAATAGCTTCACTGAAAGCAACTAATGTGTCAGAATACCATGTTCAGTAAAAACATAAATTTGGAAGACTGTGTTTTTATACTTGGAATTTCATTTATATGACTGAAGTGCAAGCGGTAAAACTCCAATTCATGAAAAGCCTTCTATAAATCATGCACTTGTAAGTTTTCCTGCAATGCATAAACGATCTTACTGCAGACGAAAACATAAATTTCCTTCCACAGTGGCTAGCAAAGGCACTGTGCTGGAATAAAAACATACACCTGGCAAAGAATAACCAGAAGAGATTGGCAACAGGCAAAGTACACAACACTGTACCTGAACAGTTAAGTTGTTGCTGGTGTTTAGGACCTTTCTTTCAGCATCCTGGAATGCTCTCTGGAGCCGCTGTTCCATGGTCTGAACAAATTTGCATGACTGAATGTTGTCTGTTTGACCCACAAACTGCAGCTCTGGGAAAAAGGAAGGCATTAGCACGTGGACAAAGTATTCTTGTTGCAGCACCAAGAACAAAATGATTAATTTACACATTAAGCAGGTGAAGATAATGCCACTTCAGGAACTGCACTAAATTTGCCTTAATTAAGACAAAATGTAAATTGCATTATTAGAGCTGACACTCTCCACAAACAAATGGAGATTGCTTCTGCAATGATATAGAAGATAGTAAGGCCTGTTCACCGTGCATATACTTGCTCAGAGCCAGGCAATAAGCAAAGTCATTCTAAAAAACAAGTTATAATCTTAAATCTTGCAGGTCATCTGGTCCTGCAAAATATAATAAATCATAATATTGATTCTCATTCTGTTTTATTTTCACTCTAGGAAAAATGTACTTGTAACTGCTGTAAGTATGTGTATACAAACATTGTAAGCACACATGTAGGAAATATTTTTTTATCATTTAATATATCATTTCAGAGCATTCTGCCCTCTTCTAATCTTACAGTGCCCCACAATTACTCTGCACTGCCACATCCCCTTGATGCCTTTTTGGGACTACCTAAAAACAGAGGCCGGACAAAATTAAAGAAAAAAATGCAGTTGTATTTATTGAAGGGCCTTCAGGTACATTTCAGGCAGACAAAGCTCCCCTCAGGGGCTACACCCAAAAAAATGGATGACAGGTCTTGGGTTTTATACTTTTATAAGCTTTAAAGTTTTATAAACTTTTATAAACTTATAAAAGTTTATACTTTTATAAGTCCATTTGCATATTGGGGGTTAATCTTCCAATTACAGCTTCAGGTAATGAAGTCATTTCCCCCCAGTTTGCTGCCCCCAACTCACTCTTGGGGTCTGAGACAGTGAGATGTCCTTGATTCCCAGGCCTGGAGAGGAATTGATCTGCCTCACCAAACTGGGAGAACAATAGCTAACACTCTATATGGAGTTTGGAGTTACACACTAAAGACTTGTAGGGTTACAAATATATGAAAAATTTAAAAGCTAAAACCCCAAGGCATCACCCTCACAGCAGTGCCCTGACAGCAGAGCACAGGGGTGCCCACAGGGGTATCCTTAATTCCCAGGCCTGGAGAGGAATTGCTCTGCCTGACCCAACTGGGAGAATAGTAGCTAACACTTTATATGGAGTTTAGAGTTACACACTAACGAATTGCAGGGTTACAAATATATGAAAAATATAAAAGCTAAAACCCCAAGGCATCACCCTCACAGCAATGCCCTGGCAGCAGAGCCGAGCCCAGGGGTGCCCACAGGACGCCTGACCCCACAGCAGAGCCTGTCCTGCTGCCACCCCACTGCCCAGAAAGGGCACCATGGGCACACACCCAGCCCAGGCAGGTTTCCCTCACTCACCTGTCTTCAGCTGGAAGTGGTAGGCAGGCAGGGGCTGCCAGGGCAGGGCCAGGGCCACCAGGGCCTGCAGGTGTGGCACGTGCTGCTTCATGTCAGCTGTGGCGTTGCCCAGGCCGTAGGCCAGCAGCTTCTCGGCGACGGCAGCCGGCGTGAAAACCAGCCTGCCCCGCGTGACGTAGTAACCCACGGTCAGGTTACTCGACTGCTCCAGGATTTCAACCTAAAACACACAGGGCAGCATGGTTTTTTTATTTTTTTTATTATTATTATTATTTTGCTCACTGTTTGCGGAAACCCAGGGCACCGGGAATATTTCTGAGGTGGCCTGACCCCCAGGGCAGCACTGACTTTGACCCTCATTCATGGAGAAAGCTTCCCAGACTTCAAGATAGACTGGAATCCACAAAAGTGTGAAATAGATTATAGAGAGTAGTGTAGGTGTATCACTTGGTGAGAAGTTTAGGTTTTGGTATTTTTACTATGTTGTGGATGGAAGCAAGATGAAGGGCACAGAGTGTCATCCTGGGTTTCTTCTTCATGCTTCTTCTTCTTCATGGGTTTGGGTGGCATTCTGTAAATGGGCAGGAACATGATCTCTTTGGGATCAGTTATTGGGTTAAAAGGGAAAATAATCTAGGTGTCCTTTCTTAACTGGATAGTTAATCTTAAAAGACCTTGTAACAAGAGTTTGTTGCCCATTTTGTGCCTTCTAATGAGACTGTTTTACTGATAAGAAATAATAAACACCTGAGTCCAAACATGAACTATAGTCTCAAGTGCCTTCAATCCAGACCCAGAGAAACCAACAGCAGTTCAGATGGTGTTTGTGGATGTGACAGCCTGGTAGAGAGCAAGAAAACTAGATAAGTTTTCCCAGAATCGGCCAGGGAGACTTTAGGGAGTCGAAAATAAACAATGATATCCAAGTATTAAAAACAACCTGCAGGTGTTGTTTTCCTAACGTCTGTTTTCTTGTTATTCTCATAAGATTGTCTATATAAATGGGTGTCTTGTTAATTAGCCAATCAAGTGAAATGCATTGATTGAATGACGAAGCAGGTCCACCTGTATCAGAACAGTGTATAAAAGAGCATATAAAAGAAGTAAAGATGAGTGCTTTATGCCACTCAGCTTTCTGATGACTCTGTGTCATTTCTTACTAAACAGTGACAGCTGTTTGATGGGGTTTCTCACCCTGAATATGTGTCCCTTGCAGAGTTTTTATCCTGCAATCCCCTATAAACCCTGTGGGATCAGTTAGTGTCATATCAGACACGGTGTGGATGCTGAGAACCGGTCAGAGAAGAAAGTCAGATAGACTTACCCAGGAATTGCTCTTTGAAGTTTTGGGAAAGTCCAGAGAAGGAATTAAAACAATTCTTAATTTTGTAGCTGGTGTTGTTTTCTCGTAAGATATTTACAAGAGGGTGGTGTGCCTAATTAGCCAATGGTATGAGGGATATTGATTGAGGGCCAATCAGGTCCACCTGTATTGTAGCTGTCTACAAAAAGTGTGTGGTTTTTAATAAAATAGCTTTTTGCCTTCTGAGATTTTGGAGTCCATGTGTCACCTTATTCATCCATCCTCAATACAATAGCGACAGACACAATAATAGCAGAGCTGCTCAGAGAGTTTTAGTCTCAGCCCATGCAGCATGGGCTCCGAATTAAAGGAGTGCAGAACTGCTACCACAGCTGCAAAGCTCCAGGTTAGGCTGGCCCTTCATCCATGCACAGATACAGGGACATTTTACATATACATGGAAAAACACAGAGAGCTTTCAGCTCCTACTCTGTTCACTGACTTTTTGAAAGACAAAAGTTTCCAATATTTGGTTGGGTTGTCTCTTATCTCCTGTTCTCCTGTACTGTCCCAGATGGTTAAGTCTATGAGCAGACCTATATGAGTGGAAATGCCAAACCACAAGAATGGACACACTGTGTGTCAAAACCCAAAACATGAGCTGAGTTTTACTTCAAAATTCAGTATTTTCCAAAAAGCTTTAGCCCTGGAACTGGTCCTCCTCACTAAGTTTTAGATGGTTTCCTCTGTTAGAAGGTGGCAGCTTCTCTCAACTTGTAAAAAGGTAGGGGACTAAACCTGGCAGTGTTTATTGCTGCTGCCAAGGAGCCCACAATGCCCAAAGCAACTGACATCCTCCACACTTGCAGCAATAAAGCGTGAGGAACAAAGCCAACTTGATAACCTCGGTTTTGAGAAAAATTACTTTTTTCCTTCCCAGAGGCTTGGACCCCACACAAAGCCCAGCCTGAGTGCACAGGAAGCTGTGTCCCAAGGAAAAGGGCCCTGGCAGCCCACCCAATGCTGCTCCCACACACAGCAGTGCAGAGGTTCATGCAATTTAGCTGCAAAGTGATGAACACATCACCTCCATTTATTTTCAATAAAACATGCTTTCTCCCTGCTTGGGATTCTTGTTCCTGTGAATTGCACCTGTCAGGTACTGGGTTTGCAGAGCAGGGAGTGGACTGACAGCACTGACATCCCATTTACCAGCCATGCTCTTGCCATTGATCCAGGCTGAGCACAGCAGCACCTGGCTGCCCCTGAGCAGAAGTCACTCCTGAGCTGCAGGGGGAAGAGGAAACTGCTGTCAGTAGTCATTTCCCAGAGCACACTAAAAAGAAGTTTGCATTTCTCTCTTCTTCTTCATCAAATAAACTGCTAAAAGCTTTGGAGTATTTCTCATATTTTTAGAGACCAGAGTGGGTGCCACCTCTGCCTGCTCTCCATAGGAAAATATCAGAGCTCCCCTCCAAGAGGCTTCCTGCATCCAGGGACACCACTGGGGCTGCAGGCAGCTGTGGTTCTTTGGTGGGAGAGCTGTTTTGGTAAAATCAAGCAGGGAAAGCCAAGCACGCTTACCTGAGCACTGACATTCTGGTTGAAAGCTTGTCTCAGCACTTGGTTGAGGCCTTTTCTCACACTGTCCCTGAAGGCATTGCTGATCATCATCCTCCTTGTGTTCAGAAACAGAACTGTGGAGCAACAAAAGCCACAGGGTGGTTTGAGACATCACCACACTCTTGTTTGCTTTCTTTAATTGTTTTTCATTGGGCTGGCTGTGCAGGGATCATCAAAGCAGCCGGGATTAGCAGCAGCTCCAAAGACAAGAACTGCAGGGGCTCAGCAGCTCCTGAGTTCCCTATTCATCCCATGGCAATAGCCCATTGTTTCCACGTTTCCAGAGCAAGGTCTAACAAATGCAATTTCATTAGCAGCAACAACAAGTCTTTGCCATGCTGCCTCTCCAAGGAGGCATGAGGCCACTCACTGCCTGAGGACAGACTGGCACAGCATTCCCAGGGGACTGAGCCAGAGCTGCACAGGCAGGCTTCACGTCTTCATGGCCACAGTTACATAAAAGAAATCTGCTGCTCCACTGCTGCAATTATTTTCTATTTAGAAAGCATCTCTATGCTTTCTTTAATAAACCTATCACTATCTTATTTTTCTCTTATCATTTTCAGGAAGAGTTTTTTAGCTGTGCTTGAGTACTTTCAATCATATACTGTACACAAGCTACCTTTATCTTTAGAAAGAGCTGTTGTACTCATCATACTAAATGGGGATATTTAGCAGCTAACAAACACACATTAGGTCCAAAAGCTGCTTATTTCACTGTAGCCTGCATCATGCAAGGTCCCAAACTCTTTTCTGCACCTATTCCTTACTGAGATCTCCCAGACACACACATCTTCTGGTGCTGTGCTGCCACAAGGAGTCCATGAGAAGCCTGTGCAAGGTACCTCTCCAGGCCCCTTTAGTTCAGAGTTCTTTCAGCTAAGGAGAAGCTGCCCATGAAAAAAAGCCAGAGCCATGGAAAACTCAAAATCCTCCCATTTTGAAGTGTGCAACTCTAAATGCTAAACATAATTTCACATGGATCTGTACTGATAGAATAAGGAGTTCATATTGGAACAGAATTAGATTTTTGTGCATAAGCAGGGCTGAGGACCAAGGCAGGTCACTGCACTGTCCTCTCCAGCAGCACAGACTCCTCACTGTGAAGCTGGCACCAAACCATCCCAGCTTACAGGGCTGTCCCTCCACTGCAGGTGGTCCTGCAGTGACCCCTGATCTCACCACTTCATTTGACACATTCATGTCAAAACCCAAGCAAAGCCAACACCATTTCCAACTAACAACCTTGTCCATACCCATCTGATTCGTCAGCACAGCAGATCAATCACTACTGCCCCACGTTCCTGGACACTGGGGTGTGTGTCTCACACCTCACAGACACAGGGGAGCCCTTCAGCAGAGGCTGCACGTACCTGTTTTCACCATCATGTTGGCAGAGAGCCGGCAATCCAGGGAGGGAGCTGCCGTCATGTTAGCGAAAGCGGCGGCTGCCGTGGTGCCGGGAGGAGCAGGGCTGAGTTCCACGGCAGGAGGGGGGAGCCTAGTTGTTTTCGCTGATGCTGTAATAGATGTCAAAGCTGCCGTCATTGTCAGTGGGGATGGGGTTGGCCTTTTGGTGATGTCTGAGCTCGGGAACTTCTGGGTGTCAGTTACTGTTGTTTCTATCTGCCTTGGTACGTGGGCTGTGGGTGCGAGTGTGGAAGCTGTGGCTGTGCTGCTCTTGGGGGTTATGAGCAGAGCTGGCGTGTCCAGAGGTGAGGCAGTCACGTTTCTTGTTGCAAAAGGAAAATCTGCCTGTGTTCCTACTGAGCTCAGATCCGGTGCCAGTTTTGTGGCAGTGTTATTTTTTGTTAGTGTCAGGATCGGTGTGCTTAAAGCCATCACGGATGGCAGAGGGGTGTTTTCAGTGCCTAGAGAAAAGAAGGAAGAAGCTGGCACTGGTGAAGCTGGAGATGATTTTCTTGTTAGTGGTTTTGCTTCTGAAGTTTCTACTGTAGGTATTGCACCAGAAGATACTCCAGATAACACTGCAAGAACAGAATGGGTAAAGTTGGTTGTTGACAAAAAAGGAGACTCTATCTGTGTTGGTGATGCATGGACAGAAGTTATGATGACTTGACTGCAGAGCACTGGTGGTAGGGGTTTGCAATGGGATGCCCTTGGTAGCTTTATTAGATATGTTACTGGGAGCTAGACTATGACTTGTAGCACTTGTGTCCCACTCCTCCTCACTGAATGTGGCTGGATATTTATCAGCCATAAACAAATAACCAGGGGACTCAACTGGTTGTCTGCAAATTCTAGAAAATTCCCAGAACCAGTGTCTTCTCAGATAAAACATTCAAGAGAGTTGAGAGAGAGTTCAGCCTTCTTAACCAGAAGGCTTGGTGAGAGGGAAGGGGGACTGGGCTGGCAGTGTGCTGAGGGTGACACTGCTTCTGTTTGGGGCTGAAGTAGTCAAGCTGTCAGTGGGCTGAAAAACCAACACCGGTGCTGTGCCTAATGTTTCCATCAGTAATCTTTCCAGCATCACTTGTTTGGGATTCTAGAGAGCTAGGGAGAGCACCTGCAGCATTAACAGGAGGCACATGGAAATGGAGAGGTACTTTCTCAGGTATACTGATAGGAACATCTCCAACACAGAAGAAATCAGCAATGTTTTCAGCCATGTTTCCTTGCTTTTTTTTGCAGAGCGTCAGGCATTGTCAATGCAGTAGCAATGGATGAATACTGAACGGGAGATGTTTTCAGTGCAAGAGCATCTACATCAAATTCTGAAAAGTTATTCTTTTCAGGAAAGGGTAAATCTGAAATGTTTTGACTATAGGATGTATATGTATAGTTTGCTGAAGAGGTGGAGAAGAGAGGCTGGTGATTTGTATTAATTTTGTTTTGCAGACTTGACACTACTGAGTATGGTGCATAGCACTCATCTTCCAATGGAAAAGTACTTGGAGTAACTTCCCTTTATTCCATTTGGACTGAAGTTTTTACCAAAGGAATACTAATGCCAGCTGCAGACAGCAATGCTTTATTGGTCCACGTAGAAACTGAAGTTACAACTTTGGGAAGGCTGACAGGATCTAAATTGCTTTCAGAGTCTGCATTCAAAATCCTGGAAGAGCCAGAACTGTGGCTGCCCATCACTGTTGTCATGGAAACAAGTGATGGCAGCATACCCCACGCTGGAGGCATGACAGAGGCAAGTGGCTTTTTATCAACTGAATGCAAAGCCTGACCAGAGGTTAAATGATTTAAAGCTCTTGAAGATTAATATTCTGCACGTGGGGTCACATGAGTGGGTACTCTCATCCTTCTGTCTTCATTTGCAGTTACATCTGAACTTTCTGCATCTCCAGGTGGAAGATGGGTAGTCACAAAAGCAGTAGTGGCAGAAGTATTTGTGGTAGCAGGTTCAGGTTTGGAAAGGCATACAGGGGAAGTAATTAATGGCACTGCAGCTAGATCAAGAGTCATCATGGCCATCTCCAAAACAGTGTCTAGTATCCTTGATCCTGTGAGGAGTGCACAAGTTTGGATACCTGGAGAAACTTTGTGAAGCTGAGTTCCATAATGCAGAACATTATTAGCATTAAAGTTCACGGACACCTTTGCTGTCACTCCTCTTGTGAAAGGCTCTTGAGCTGTCCTTGCCACAGGAAAGCCACCAGGATTTGGGAGATCAGGGCTGAAGCAGCTGGGAGTCTCATGCTATTTGCCTGTTAAGTTCCATCAGTCCAATTTCTGCAAAATTCTGATTCAGAGGCAGCAGAGGGAGGGATCTGCAGCCTGTCCTGGTTGGCTGCTGCCACCCTGGGACTGGCTGTGCGTGCTGCCCCAGTAAACACCTCGTTTGTCTCCATTAGCAAGGGAGACCTTGGGCTTGTTGGAGAGGAGTGTGCTGCATTTCTAAAGAGAAAATCTGTTTTGCTTCTAAATTCTCCTACTGGCAGCAGTGCACTGCGAGCGTGCTTTGCATCTGGAAAAAGTGATATTGGCAGCGAAAGGGAGGACTCTGTGCTCTGTGCTGAGCTGGAGACCTCAGCTGAGCTCTTGGAGGCTGTTGACATGAAAGGTGCAGGGTGAGAGGCTGTAGTGGAATTAGTCAGTGCCGTGAAAGACTGAGGGTGATTCATTGGCGGTGTTAGATGTGGAGTACCCGCAGCATGGAAGACTGATGTGGGAACAGCTGCTTTATCCTGAAAAACTGATGATGACAGAAGAGTGGTACCACTAATTCTGCCAGTCAGTGCTGCCCTAAATGGCCCCAGTAGAAGAGATATCTTACATACTCTCATCAAGGAACCATGACAAACTTTTGGAAGTTAGACATTTTACATACTCTCATCAAGGAATCATGACAAACTTTTGAAAATTACTGTCAGGGAAGACTGATGCATTTTTACCCAGGAGTATCAGAATATACAGATGACAAAGAGGTCCCTTCCCACTAACTCTGTGAAATGCACTGTTGTTGATCCAATGAAAAGCATGGCCCCCATAAACAAGTTGGGACCCTTCTGTGATTCACCACACTGGAATGCACCATGCTTAGAGCACTATTCCTGCTTTCACTAACCTGTGAGCTAGCTGAATCTGTGCTGAGGAAACCTTCAGGATCTGCAGACAAAGGCACTTGGATGGGCAGTACAGCTGGTTTAGAAAAGTTAATGGCATGAGGTGACTGGATTACCAATGAGGAGAATGATGGTGATGGAACAGCGGCAAGCATGTCTGATCCTGATGTGCTTTCTCTGGAAATGGAGGTGGTTTCTAATGGCACTGGCTGGGATGGCACAGCTGTACCCAAATGTGTCACTGGTGGTGTGGTGGGCAGTGTGGCAAACATACCAAGCTGAGGCAAACCTGTTAGAGCAGCTGTGTCATCTGCATCGTGAGACGACGGCCTCAGAGGCGACTCGGCTGAGACCTCAGCGGGTTCCTGGGGTGCACTGCTCCCACTGCCCTGGTACAGGGAGGGTGACAGGTGCATCTGATCCAAAGTCCTGGCACGGGCGCCAGTCAGCGTTGTTCTGATCATCTGAAGCAAGTCTGCATTCTCCAAAGTCTGTCCCAGGGAAAGATCAGCTACTGAGGGAGTCTTGGTTTCTGTGGAAGGCCGTGTTGGTGATAGTATAGATCTCCAGTTAGGAAAAGATCCTGCAGAAGGAGCATCATTGACATGCTGTTGCCTGACACCTGTAAAATAATAACTAAAATGAGCATTCCCCCAAATGAAGAGTTGTTATCTTGTTGCTACAAATCCCAACACAAAATGCATTAAGTTTGGTAAAACAAATGAATTTTTTGTTGTTATTTTTTTTCAGAGTGCATAAAAATTCAGAGAAGATTTACAAAAAAAAAAAAAAACCAACACAAACATGAAACCCAGTGAAAGGTTCAACACAACAGATTTTAAACCCCTCAACTTGTTTCATCTGACAGAAGAATAAGGAAAGCTGCCTTGGCCATGCTATTCCAAAATCCTACTTTTACCAGAGATGTCTCAACATACTAAAAGACACATCCTTAAGCTTGGGACAAGTCTTGAGGTTATCATGAGTCACCCTGTGTCAAAACACTGTGTGAGAAGATGAGTTTAGAAGCAGTGCAGAAAGGGAATGGGTTTTGACAAGCAAGCTTCACTGCCTTGGCATGCAGTCTGACATGGGAATAGAGTCAGCACTGGCTGTGTTCCTGCAGGATGCATCTGGAGGTGCTCATCCTGCCAGCTCTAATAACGCGCGCAATTACAGGCACAAAAGGAAGAAAATAAAACAGGGATGAACAAGAGGAGAGGGGGGCAAGATCCAAAACAAAATAGGACATTAAACACTTTTTTTTTTTGACATGTGCAGATGCTCAACATATCATTTCAAGTACCAGTTTACTCAGCATTCCACACCATAATGTTCCTAGGCTTTGTTTTCTTGAAATGATTACAGTTATCCTAAAATCACAGAATGGGAACACTCACATTTGTACTAATTCAAAGATTAAGATTCACTCAAGGGTAAAATTTAAGGTGGTGGGGTTTCTTTTTCCCTTCCCCCACATCAAAACAATAGATCAAACCTCAGTCCTGGCACTTGGTACCATGCCAATCTGTGTCCCCTTGTATAGCCAAGCAGAGGGAAAACATGGAGCTAAATCCTTCCCTCCAGCTGTAGCACATCTGGATCAGACACAGGGGATGCCAACCTCCTCCACGGCCCCATGAATAACTCAACATAATGGTGTGGAAAAGCAAGCAGAGCAGATCTTGAGACACATAAAATGGGCTGGACACTGGCTCCAGCCACCCACGAACCCAAGGGTCAGCAGACCCAACAGCACCAACTGGGATTAGCCCACATGGACAGGAGCCAGCAGCAGGAGACCTTATAGCACAAGGGAGGAGAATGGGTCATGCTGCACATATTTAAAGCTAAGTTTCTTTCTTTCTAGAGTTTTCTTTCCTCCTAAGGTTTTACACCACCATCCTCCATATGTACAGGCCACAGTAGATGATTAGAGCTCCATCAGGCTCCCGTGTGCATTCCACAGGAATGTGCTGGAATTATGTTCAGCATTTTCTCTCTCTAAAAAAAAAAAAGAAAACCCAAAACAATGCGAGATCTCCCATTTTATCCCTGTATTTAAGAGTTTTATTAAGCCATGGTGAAAAACAGCCATTACTATCTCCTTCACTGAGATGCAAGAATACTTATAGTCTCCAGAAACAATTTGGTTTAGAGAAGCAGCTCCAGGATGGGCAACAGAACAGAGCTCTGCCCTCCAAGCAACCAAAGTCCCCAGACCTTCCACTTGACACAGGTTAACTTGTACACAGCTGATCTTGAGAAAAGCAAAGGGAGGGAGACACAGGGCCACATATGGCAAGGAGGGACAAGCAGGGGAACAGGCAGCCCAATCCACTTTTATGGAGCTGCTCCAGAAGGTCAGCAGGCTGGACAGGAGGCTGCAGAGTCCACCAGGGAACCTGACCCACCAGGAGAGGTTTGCAGCACAGAAGGGACATTTTTGTACTTGGGCCTTGGGTGCTGATGTGTCCTCAGGGGGACTGGAGACTGGTGTGGCCTGGTTTCTGATACTCTCCATGCTCCACCCTGTGTTGGAAGGCACATTGTGCTCTAGACTGTGTTTTGGTGGCTTTTCCTTCCTTGTGAGTCTGGCAGATTTTAACAGAAGGTAGGAAAGAAGATGAGATGAATTTTGCTCAGCTAGAATGGATTCAAACACGTGCCTGAAATTAAGAAGTAGCTGATGTGCTTTGCAAAACCAGAATTTAGGCAACCTGCAGCTTAAATATCTCTGCTGGTGAAGTAATCATTACCCAACCTGTTGCACCTCTGACTGTCTTGTTTCACCAGAACTGAAAAATGACTGCAAAGCCTTCATGTGGGATTTCTTTTAGCACTTAGTCCTAGAACTAATCTAGCACAAGTCCTAAAGGGGACTTGAGCAAGTCAATGTTTTCTACTTTTCCAAAACAGCAAAACCTGTCAGCATCAATCCTCTCACAGACTGCACCATTCTTCACACATTTCTTCACACATTGGTTTAATGAGAATGATTACAAGCAAAGAGACAACATAAACCTCGAAAAAGCATTGATGTTACCTCATATTGACAAGAAGTGAAGAAAAGTTCAAATATTGCAAAGAAGATAAAACACCAAATAAAAATATCCTCTAGCCACTTCTTTATTCCAGTCCTTCAGTTCTTATTCCCTCCATTCCCTACCAACTGCCAGCTTCTCTGTTCATGCCCATTAATGAAGTCAAGCTCCCGAGTCACTGAAGCATTAAGAAAATTACACAATTTGCTGCAACCTATGTGTGATGCTGCATTCCACTGCAGCAGATTTTCTTTCATTCTATGCCTATGGAAAGATATTGATTGCCAGCATCTGTTTCAAACTGCCATAAATTCAGCATCCTGGTAGGAACCAGACAGACACAACACATGGAGTTGAAACTGAAGGATGTACTCTGTGCTTGAGAATTGTTAGGATAGCCCCAAGCACTACAGCTCCCTATCAAAAACTGTGCAAACCAGGACTGCATCATGGAAAAAAGGGCAGGCAGGAAAATGTTGCACTTCTAAATCTATCAACAGCTGAGCACACTTGATGAAGGAGGAGACAACCAATTCAAATCCACAGGAAAGCCACAATGAGAGCTCCCCACAGCATGCACTGTGCACTGAGCCACTGCTGGTACACACCAGTAGCTGCTCCTCCTGCCTCTAGATTACCTGTTATTCTTTCATATCTCAGCCTACTGATGAACCACCACCTGCAACCATCCCAAAATCCATCTAGAAGTAACCTCATTACAACAGCCATCACTGATGAGGCACCTTTTCATTAACAATAATGAGGAACATTTCCAATATGCCAGTGCAGGAAGTTAAAAATCAGTCCAATTTGGAGAAAACCATGTTTTCTACATTTCTGAGCACTTCTGTGCACACCTAAAGGCGTGATAAGGACCCTCACCTCTCCCCTTAAATAAAGTGAGGGTCCCCATGAGGGAGGTGTAGGATGCCATGAGGGCACCCCTCACCTTCTCTTCTTTAGGCTGAGCAAGCCAAGGGACTTCAGTCGCTTCCTCCACATCTTGCCCTCAAGGTCTTTCATCACCTTCATCACCCTTCATCACTCTAACAATGTCCTTCTGCCACTTCTGAGTCAATACAAAATATCAGCTCAAAGGCATCTTCAAAACAGAAGATTGTCGTTGTCTCAACTTTGGTTGCATTACTTACAGATCACCTGGATTGATAACATTTAAAAGCGAAGCTGATAAAGAGCACTCTCAGAAATTTTATTGCATGACTGACAAAGACATCTTCCCCATTATATGTCAGGTATGTATCTTTTCATAACCTTCAGCATACAGAGGACAGAATTTCAATTTTCCAATCAAGTTGCTTAAATTATTCATTTTTGAGACAAAAAAAAAAGACCAAAAGAAAAAAACACCCAAAAAAATGTCAAAAAAGTCCCCAACTGCTATTAAGTACTGTAAAGGCTAAATTTTAGGAATAAAATAATACCTATATAAGACTAGTTGTAGCCATATAAAGCACAGCAGAAATCCAAACATAAACAATCTGGATTTTATACAGCCCTAAATCAATCAGCCCTCAGGGACAGTACCTCCAAAGATACCCTATAAAAAATCAGACAGTGAGAAATACAATTACTTGCAAACAAACACTTCAGCTAAGCCTTTGAGAATGTCTCCCAAACATTCTCCTGGGAAAGCTGGCAGGCCATGCCTTGGACATGTGCAAGGTTGAGAACTGGCCCAGAGAGCGGTGGGGATGGTGCCACATCCAGCTGGGGACAGTCATTAGGGATCAGTGTTTATTATCTTTAAATAAAAAATATTTAAAGATAATAAACCAACCTGTTTATTATCTTTATTGATGGTCTGGGTGAGGAGATCAAGGGTATCCTTGGGAAGTTCACAGGCAGCATTAAGTTGGGCTGGAGTGTTGAACTGCTGGAGGGTAGGAGGCCCCTGCAGAGGGATCTGGACACACTGGAGGCATGAGATGAGGCCAACAGGATGAGGTTCAGAAAGGTGAAGTACGAGGTCCTGTGCTTGAGTCACAACAACCCCATGGAGTGATCCAGTCTGGGGGAGGAGTGACTGGAAAGGGAAAAGGAGATGGGGGTGCTGGTCAACAGCAGCTGAATACAAGCCAGGGTGTGCCCAGGTAGGCAAGGAGACCAATGGCACCTGGTGTGGATCAGAAATACCCAGCAGGAGCAGGGCAGTGGCTGTCCCCCTGTACTGGGCACTGTGTCCAGTTCTGGGCCCCTCAGGAATGAGTCCAGAGAAGGGCAATAAAACTTGTAAAGGGTCTGAAGGAGCAGCTGAGTAAACTGAGAGTGTTCAGCCTGGAGGAAAGGAGGCTTGAGGTGACCTTATCACTCTCTAGATCGGCCTGACAGGAGGGTGGAGACAGGTGGGGATCGGCCTCTCCTCCAAGGCAACCAGTGACAGGATGAGAGGACACAGAATCACACAGAATCACAGAATGATGAGGTTGGAAGAGACCTCTAAGGTCATGGAGTCCAACCTATGCCCTAACACTTCACCTGGACTATAGCACCAAGTGTCATGTCCAGTCTTTTTTTAAACACATCCAGAAATGGTGATTCTACCACCTCCTTGGGAAGAGCATTCCAGCACTTTATTATTCTTTGGGTGAAAAATTTTTTCCTAATAACCAACCTATACCTTCCCTGACATAGCTGGAGCCTGTGTCCTCTGGTTCTGTCAGTGCTGCCTGGTGGAAGAGACCAATCCCACCTGTCTACAGCCTCCCTTCAGGAAAATGTAGAGAGCAATGAGGTCACCTCTAAGCCTCCTCTTCTCCAGGCTAAACAGCCCCAGCTCCTTCAAACATTCCTCATAGAACCTGTGTTCCAAGCCCCTCACCAGCCTCGTTGCCCTCCTCTGGATGTGCTCGAGCACCTCAACATCCTTCCCAACCTGAGGGGCCCTTCCTAAACTGACATGGCCTACCACCTCTCTGGGAAGAGCATTCCAGCACTTTATTATTCTTTTGGTGAAAATTTTTTTCCTAATATCCCATACCTTCCCTGACATAGCTGGAGCCTGTGTCCTCTGGTTCTGTCAGTGCTTCCCAACCTGAGGGGCCCTTCCTAAACTGACATGGCCTCAAGCTGCACCAGGAGAGGTCCAGGTTGGACACAGCAGGAATTGCTTCACAGAAAGAACTGTCCAGCATTGGAAGGGGCTGCCCAGGGAGGTGGTGGAGTCCCCATCCCTGGGAGTGTTTAAGAAATGGCTTGATGAGGCACTTAGTGCTGTGGTTTAGTTGGCATGGTGATGGTTCAGCCAAAGGTTGGACCCAATGATCTCGGGAGTCTTTTCCAACCTTCATGATTCTAGGATTCAAGAGGAACAACAAGCCACCTACAAGTATTGCTGAGAGACCCTTCAGCACTTTACCCCACTCTATCCAGTACCAGATAGGGCTCTCCCAGGGCTACACCTCCTCTTTTTCTTTAAAACAATGCCACTAACATACCAAAAAAAGCATTTTTTTTCCTTCTCAAAAGTACAATGCTTCCCACTTATTATTGTTTTACCACAAGAGATTGAGTGCCCAAAGGTCAGATATGACTGGTAGAGGATACGATAAGAAAATTAACAGAATTAACAGAAATTAACAGTAATCTCTTTTACACCAGTGAAAAAATGTACACCCTAATCACAGGGTTCTGCAATTTACTTCCATTGAAGAGCATTAAACCTACACTGTATGATGATAGCATCACTTCAGAGTTTTCCTAATGCTGTCATTTTTTTTCATTATTCATTAAGAGTTTACAATTGGAAAAATGGCACAAAAATACAGATTTCATGAGCCAAAGGATGTGAAATACACTAAGAACAAAAATACAAATGCTCAGCAAAGCATTTATAAAAATAGCTATGTAGCATATCAAAATCTTGCTCACTGTAGAGAATGGCAAAAACTATGCCTTCATCATATGTTATCCCAATTATACATTGATGAGATCATTACATCACAGCCTATGTATCCCATACATTTCATCATTCCACAGGCCTTTGCAGCTTAATTACACACGTTTTGCAAAACAATTAACAAGTGTTTTCTAGCCCTGACAACAAGCCAACCTACAAGACACCTGTCCTGAGTCCTGGTTCCCACAGGCCAAGCCACGCCTGCTCCTCTGGTCAGTGTGCTTTGTGCTCATCCTCCAGGAAATCTGCCTGGAGGGACCACCAGGATCACACTGGAAGGGAGAACAAAGGTGGTTTTGGCAGCTGCCAAACCCACAGCTACTACAGCAGGAAAGGATGGTGGAGAGCCAGAGAAAACTGCAAAAGAGGGAAGATAAAGAAACCAGAAAACTAAATCCTGTTCTTCACAGGTATCTCATTAATATCCATTTTTTTCAGGCAGATTCTAGAAAAAATTAAGTGTTTCAACAGACACGTTCTCACATTTGTTTCAGCTGTAACTTTTCCCAGATTAGATCTTGACCTTCCAAACCCAAAATTCTGTCCTGATGGATGTAAAACCAGATTATTTTACCAACAGCTGAGATTGTTTACATGCTAGCTGCTGGAACCCTGGATGCTAAGAATTTCAGACTTTCTGTGCTGAAAGGCACAGACCCTCAAGAGAACACTGCATTTGACCTGAGGCTGTGGAGAAGGCTTCCAAAATGGAATTATAGAACTGGGATTGTGGGTGTGGAGTTTGAATAGAAGTGTGTAATATCACATGGTGGGAAACTTAGAGTTTAAGGTTTTAGAATATAGTAATATATATAGCTGAGATGGAGGTTTTAGGGTCAATGGAGGTTTTTATCAATGTCTACAAGAGCCAGACAATAAAAAAGAACCATTACATCAAAAAAAAAAAAAGCCCTTTTTCCAGTGATCTTAGAAAATTATAACTGAAAACTATTATTAATTTATTTTTGACAATCAGGAAAAATATTTTTCCTGATACCATCAGAATTCTGTTGAAATGAAACAATTTTACTGTGAGGGAAAATCTCTGTGAGGAGATTGAGACATTGCACAAGGTTTCCTTCTCAACAAACAAAGTTTGGACTTCATAACAAATAATAGAAAAACATTAGGGCACAATATTTGGTCATTTCAATTGCACTGCCATGTGTTTTTACACATGAAAACCAAAGCAGAAATTTTCTCTTTGAGATGGTGGTGAACTTTCCTTGCCCTCACAGTGTAAGTTCCCTTTGGGTCCCAATGCTCCAGCACCACATCAGGGACAACCTCTTGGCTATCAATTAAAATACAGGGCTGCAAGGAAAATGCACTTTTTGCCAAAGAAGCTTTTGGCATGGCCTGTCTTGCTGGCTTGCCCAGCCCAAACGTCAGCTGCAGGGATTTGGGAGCTCCACGACTGTCACCAGCCCTGCTCTGGGAAGCCACAGGCGGCTGTGTCTTGTCCCGAGTGCCAGCCTGGCCTGGGGCTCCAAAGTGTCTCCTCTGCCACCCAGGAGGCTCTGCTGGGAGGCTTTAATCTGCTCCAGCAGCAAGAGGGAGGTTTTGAGCAGTGCAATGGATCAGCCAGGGTGAGAAAACCATGCTCTGGTGGCAGTGGGGACAACTCTGCCAGCAGTGATCCCAGCAGCATCATCTGTGGCATTCACATTTACTGGAAAAATCCCTTCATCCAGGATTTTTCTCCTGGGAAACTGAGAAGTCTCAGAGAAAAAGGAAAAAAAATAATTATCTGATTTGCTTCTCCTGTGTTTTGCTGCTTTGGAATGTGTTTGGAGATTGTTTCATTGGATTCTGCTGTGAGTTGTTTTCACTCAGTGGCCAATCAGTGTCGAGACTCTAGAAAGATTCACAAGTTTTCATTGTTATCCTTTTAGCCTTCTGTAAGTATCCTTTCTGTATTCTTTAGTATAGTTTAGTATAGTACTCTTTAATATAATATAGTATAATAAAATAATAAATTAGCCTTCTGAGAACATGGAGTCAGATTCATTCCTTCCTTCATCTGGGAGCAACCCAAATACAATAATCATCTGCACGCTGGATTCAGAGCAGATGCTCAGCTGGATCCTTAGGAAATGAGAGTGCAAGGGAGGAG